AGAGTAGCAAAGTACAATGTTCTTACTCTTAAATACAAGCAAAACTCACATTGTACAGGTCTGTTAACACACCAAGTCAGTGTTTTGTTTTGTCTTCACATGATGAAACAAATACTCGAATAATGATTTTAGTATGGCACCTTGAATGGGTACCGTACTTGAGTGCACATGCCTAATTCTTATCCAGGTAGGTGTAGCCCCAAATTCTACGTATTGTAAATGTTTATATATTGGGATCAGCCCACAAATCCCATAACAATGCATCCCCTAGTCTTGTTATCACGAATATGATCATTATGACCTACATAAGCTTACTGATAATACAGACCCATCCCATAGACACTCTGTTATCAAGGCTCATTTGATTGAATCCTGTGCGACACAGGCCTGCGACAGCCCTTTTCCTCCCTCACCTCTGGTCCATTCGGGGCTTATTTTAGCAGCGCTTCCTTCCTGGCTTTGTTTCCCTGATGAATGCAGCTCATTTCCGTCCCACAGCCATTTCCTCTCTCATCTGGCTGCTGGAGACAAACATCTGCAGGCAGACAGTAAACACCTCACATTCATCAATAACTCCCCTTCCTCTCCCAGCATTGGCAAATTACACTTACAGAGTACAATGGTGGCTTATGCTGTTTTCCTGGTCTTGCTCCAAAAGGAACACATGAATGTTAAGGCAGGTTTCAGCAAGGCTCTTTGGGATGTCAATAACTATACTCATTTGTTTGTGGGTTTTGATTCCTGCTGTCATTCCTGGTTACGGAGGAAGTCCTACAGTTGGTTTGCTGTCCACCAACACTTTGTCTGTTCGTGTTTTGACATAAAACAATCTGATGTGAAAAGCTGTTTTACTCCTACTGTACATTTTGGAATGTGGCTTCTTTCAAACCACAGAATTGTACTATTTGGATTGGCCAGGATCACGGGGACACCTCACTCATGCCATCATGGTTTCCTGTCACAGTTGGACTCTGCTACAGTGGCTACATCTGCTCTGATGAGCACAGTTCTGGCAGCACTGTCCTCTGCTCAGGCTTAGAGGAATCCCATGGCTGTAGTCTCAAGCTTAGCAGTGAATGCTTCATCAAAGATTGGACTTTCACTTGCAACAGTGACTCAGAATGTTATCATCTGATCTCAGTGTTTAAACAGAGGGTAGGCTGTGCAGTGCATCAATTAGTGGAGGAATGGATTTGAGGGAAGCTTAGTCAGTGCCCCAAAATAGGGTTGTCTAAAGTGTGGGTCATTCTCTGAGAGATGATGGTTTGGTTGCATAAGTGGGAAATTTATTCACTCTAATGCTGCCTCTCAAATCATGCATTAAACTGATTATACTGGGGAGGGAAGATCTCTGGCTGATGATATAAGCTTATCCTTAACAGTTAAGTCCATATCACATGTTCAGAAATTTGTAGACACCTGCTCATGCAGTGTTCAGAGGTGTTAATAGGGAGTTTGTGCTTCCCTAAAGATACAATGTGTGATACAATGTGTGATACAATGTGACGCCTACCAAATTCCCTGGTGAGCCAGGGAACGAGGGGTTATAGCCATTTTATTTACCATCCAAAAGAACCAGTGAACCTACATGTGACTTCTGAATATTTATACGTAACGTTTATAATAAAATAATGATAATTCCAAAATTAACCTTACTTTGGGGGCTTTTTTGCCTAACAAGCAGTATTAAAACAATGTCTTGGACATCAGGGAACATGTTCCTAAGCCTTTTCATTAATTTCCTTCAAGTTAGCTTTTAGAGGCATTAAACTCTTTGGACGTCTGGTTAATATCACCACCAGTCTGATTCAGTAAGTTTTTCTAAAGTAGCACATTTTTCATCAAACCACTCTGAATGACAGTCAGTATTTACTGAATAACTTACAACCCCCTTTTTCACAGATTTGTTTTATTCCGCTTGCATCCCATCTGTTATATTTTTCTTACAAGTATCAAGGATGCCTTTATCACTGGGCCCATAGTGAAGGTGGACTCCAATCCCAGATTCTACTCGTTCGCTCTCCACTCAAACAATACTCACCCAGCACAAAGGCTAAGCCTTGTAGGTGTCTTGTCTGACTTCAGGTCAGGCAAAATACCATCAGTTAAGGAATTAGATTTCCTCAGAATTCTTGGCTCCTTTCCTATAGATGCTGACCACAGCACATTGATTTCCATTACAGGGAGGATAGGATGACATCTTTAAAAGTGTTTGTGTGGTTGAGCTCCATGCATGAGTGCATTTATGACAGAAAGCATTTCAAGGGCATCTGCCATCCCTTCTGGATCAGTGTAAGCCGAAACCATGTCTGACATTGAATGGTGCAAACAAAAACCAAATTATGCTCATGAGCCATGAGTGTTTGGCAGAATTACTCCTAATGTGGATTTGGCCAGTTAAACAGGTTCACTATAAGTAACTATTTTCGGTGGTATTTTTGGATTATTCAACGAAGTTTGAAAGACTGAATGAAGACAAAGTAAAACAAAAAGCAGCGAAGGCAAACATGTTTTTGTCATCTGTCTGGTCCATATTCTCTGACTCAGAGCATAGTAAGAGGTCCATGATCATATGACCCCCCCACCAATAATGAAGCTGTTGTTTCCTGTTGAGTCTGCTCGGAGACGTCACATTTTGCTTGGGAAAAATATGCCAGTGTCACAGTCTCCGAAACGCTCCTCTGGTTTTGTTTGTCTCTGAATGAAGAAAGATGAACGGCTCGTTTCTGGTTGACCTTTCCTTTTCGGACATCTCCGGCTTTCAGCCGGCGCAACGATGCGTGTCCGCAGAGGTCAGAGGGCTGCAGCCGTGCTGACCTCGCTCCTTCGGGGAGGGGAGGCGTTTTCTCTGAATGGGAAGCAGCTGTATTCTTCATGAGGCTGTGGGTCTGCTGGATAGGATGGGTGGAAAGAGCTGCTTCCTGAGAGGCAGTCTCGTTGCTGGGGGCTTTTTCCCCTGCCTGCTCTGTGGATTAGCTGCTCAGGCTCTGCTGGATGTAGAATCGTCTTGATTTCTGTAATGGAGCTTTTACACTGATTAGCATTACACATGGCAGATGTTAATGGATTACTGTGAGTTTGGTTTGTCTGTGAAGATGCAGAGAAGCAGACTTTCCTCTGAACAGTCAGTGCACTGTGGTAAGTAAATGTCTCTTCTTAGTGTAACAAATTAGTCGTACATTTTAGTAAGTAATACACATTTGTGTTTGTGGCATTTAGCTAAACTATGTTCATGTTTATGTTGAGAAATTAAGAGCTTTTGAGGTTCTCACTGTTGTGGTGCTCTGTTAGTGCTTTTGCATATGCTTTGTGGTATTGTTGGTTGTATTGGTATTTTTTAAGAGTTAGAGTGGTAGACCCTTCAAAGGTAGCAGTCTTAGTCATGCAAACATCTTGTCATCGAACACATGCTGTGAACACACTATACAAGTGAATACACAGTTTTCTCTATAAATTTATGTTCAGTTGTGATTGACAAGGAGTTTCTTTATAATAATTTCATTTTTATTCAAGTAATTCATGTGTGTGTGCCGTCCATACTGGGGAAAAGATAAATTGCATATTGTTATAAAATAGTGTTTACCAATATTGTTGTAGTTTAACAAAATACTGTTTAGACTGTGATGTCAATAAGAGAGCTCAAATAGGTCTGCTGTTGATTAGGGCTTGTAAAATGGTATAGGAATTTGATTGCTTATGTCTGCAAATATCCAGAAGGTGGAGCTCTTTCTTGGTTTCTTGTAAAAAAAAAAAAAAAAAAAGTGCAAAGGTGAAATGCCACGCTTGTTACACGTCTCGTTATCTCCTATTCATGGAAACGACACCGTATTTTAACAAAATCACTGCAGAACCCCAGTTGTTAAAGCCTAGTGTGACAGACACTAGAAGACTAAAGCTAGCTGCTCCAATACAAACGAGCTTGCTATATAAACGATTGGATTTCTGGGACTTGGGAGCTGAATTTAGTGTGTTTAGTGCACATTTAATGGTAGGGGAAACACAGTGTTTTGTTTAAAGAAGATAACCTGCATGTCATCCATCTCAGCTGTTGGAGACACTGATACATGCTCTTTCTCTTCAGATGCTTTACTAATATAGACTAATCTACATTTATTAAAATGTGACCTGTTTGGGCGAACTAGGCCTTTTGTCTTAACACTGCTTGTAAAGAAGCATTTGCCATCTAACTTTCTACCTATTAAGGTATTCAAGGGGCTTTTCATAAAGACAATGGTTCAATGTGTAAACCTGTTTGAAAATAGTTCTGTATAGAACCGAAAGGTTGTACAATGTCAAGCTTATAACAATAGAAGAAGCACCTTTTTGGTGCTACATAGAACCATTTTTGAAAAGGTTCTACATAGAATCATATCAAACACCATTCTTCATCGATCTGAAGAACAATTTCACCATGCAAAGAAACATTTAAGCATGCAAATGCTACTTTGAGTGTTCATGATTCTATGTAGAGATATGGCCTTTGCTAAAGAACCCTTGAAGAACCATCTCTTTTTAAGGGTGAAGAATGGAATAGTATTTTGACTTGACACTGAAGATCCAAAAGCCTGAAGTTGAGTCTGTATGCAGGCAGCAGATAGACTGAAGAAAATGACTTAAGAGGGCGATCAGTACCTTTCAGCTCGCATCTGCGGACGCATCTAACATGCAATCACAACATTAAAGAATTAGCAAGAGCACATCTGTAGCACTTCAAAGCAGTTTTGTGCTTCTGACAGAGAAGCTGTTTGATGGGACTTCAAAGCATCGATGGAGGTTTTCTTTTCCTTTCACCTTATCGCAGCCACTTTAACCTACAAACGAAAAGAGCCAAAAATATTTCCCTTCTTCTAGTCAGGTAGTCTGCTTGATCTCTGTGATCTAAAGATCAGTCTTGGAGCGTGTAATAAGCAAGATGTTTCATGTTTTTATCACATCAGAGAAGAAGGAAGACAAAGCAAAGAAGAACCAAAAATGTTCTTTTATTTGTTTCTGTTGTGCAGGAGGTGCTGAAGCAGCTGCAAGGAACTATTGAAGAAGACTCAAAAGATTCTCAAGGCCAGATTGACTTTTTGGAAAGGCTTAAAGGTATGAGGTTTGATTAAGTTTGATTTAAAGGCATTTGCAGTACTTTGCAAAAGTCTGAGACCATTGTTTATTTCTTTCCACTCCAGATGGTCAAGAAGAAAACATAATAGAAAATTACACAGAAGCCTCTCTAGCCACAGCTAAATATAATATCAAGTATATCAGTATTTGGTGTGTCCACTTGTTATGTTTATGTTTATTACAGCTTCCATTCTTTTCAGGAGACTTGCTTTTATTTTCCCAAAGAAATCTTCTGGGATATATTTTTCCACACCTCCTTTAGTATTAGAAGTTGTTTGTAATTTTTGCTTCTCTTGATGCAGCTAATCTCTGGGGTGGTCAGTCCATTGTTCTGAGAACACCAGCAGCTTATTGATTTTCAAATTTTCTTTTTTTGTCCATTTCCTTATCCCAGTAACCGCTTCTTGATAGCTACACATCCTTTCAGAGTCATAGCGTTGAGTTGTCGTCTCACAGTGGAAGGATGGACCGAAACACCTGTGGATTTTTTTCAGATCTGAAGCAAGAGTGGAGCTTGATTTTCTTTTCTCTCTCAAAGATGAAAGCTTTAAATGATGGGTTTTGGTGCTCTGCTAGGTCTCGCACAGTTGTTAGGTGATGCATTTTCTCATCTTTTTTTAACAATCGTTTGTGTTCCAGTTTTGGAAACTCTTGACTTTCCCCTTTCTTATGTTTAGAATATCTTACGTCACCAGAAGTACCTCCTGAAAAATGAATGACTTGTACTTAATGGCTGTTTTGACTAGAAATGTAAAGTAAATGAACAGTGGTCTCTGATTTTTGCACAGTGCTATATTGTATTATGATGCTACAGTCATTCCTCATTAAATGCATATGTAATCCTTTGGGTTGTATAAAGTCGTCTGTAAGGTAATATCTAAAATAGTGCCAGTCCTCTCTAGAGTTTCAGTCCTAGCTTTTGAAATTACAAGGCAATATCATCACTGTGTTTATCAATTCCTCAGAGATAAGCCTAGATCCTAGTGGTTTCCCGGGTGTGAAGCTGAGACCGAAAGCCTCCATGCAGGGTTCAAGCTCGGGCCGTTCTGCAGACAGCAGTCCCAGCCCAAGCCCCATGGGCTCTTTTCCCAGGAGAGGGGTGGCAAATGGGGGCAGAGACAGTGCTGGATACCTGGAGGAGCTGGAAAAGGAGAGGTAGGTGTTGTGTGAAGATAAATTTGGCCTGAAAACGAATTTACGTATTTTTCTCTTTAATCCAGATTATCAGTAAAACCAAGACATGTTTGGTGTTCGAAGTCTGCCTCTCTTGTTTTGTAAAGGGTTGGCCTTGTCTAGTTTCTGACACTGCCTGACTGGTGCTGTTTTTAGCTGTCCAGTGTACTTTCGTCCATGTTTATAGATAACAGTATGTCATACAGTTTCAAACCACATAAGCAAGTCTATTTGAAAATTCCTGTTGCAGGCAGGTGTGTGATTTAGGCATTTACTATCATCCTACAAGTATTAGCTTTCATTATGTGTTAGCATTTAATATGTGACCCTACATCACTTTGAGCTTCTATAAAAACTCACTCTTGCCCAATAAAAAGACTTATTAAAAATGTCTAAAGCATAGACCATTGAACATAAAGGTTCAGTCAGAAGTTTCATCCAACTCTAAATTGCTTTTGAACTGAGATTATATTTAACTGTGGTGTAAGATAACACCGGTGTCCCGTTACTCTATTAATTCCCAGTTGACATGGAGACGCTTATTTCTGTCGCAGAGTAGCAGCATATTTAACTCCTGTACAACACTGAAAACATTACTTATCTGTCTTTTTTGTGTTTAGATCTTTATTAATGGCAGAGCTGGAGAAAGAAGAGAAAGAAAAGGACTGGTACTATGCCCAGTTACAAAACCTCACCAAAAGAATTGACAGCCTTCCACTGACTGAGAAATGTAAGTTTATATCAAGAAAGGAATACGTATAATATTTGATTTAACACTCACAGATTTCAGCATTGGCACAAATAATCATGACTAAACTTCAGTGATGCTGTATGTACAATGTTTGTGCAGTTTTCCTTACAGACAGACATGACTCGCAGACAACTGGAATACGAGGCTCGGCAGATCCGGGCAGCGATGGAGGAGCAACTGGGAACTTGCCAGGACATGGAAAAGAGGGCGCAGGTGAGCAACAGAGGGTGCAGTTTAAGATTCTAGTTACACATCTTAATGTGACTCCTAGATTGAGTGTTCTACCACCCAAAAATATCCAGCCAAGAGCAGCTCTGTGGTCAGAAACTGGCCAGGGAGGAAGGGCTAGAGGATGGCTAACACGAACTGTGCAGGGAGGAAGGGCTAGAGGATGGCTAACACGAACAGATGGGCTGCAGCCTGTAACTGTGCACCAGCAAGTTGGAGCTACAAGGGAGGAGTTTTTGTGCATAATGCCATGACCATCTCAGTGTCACTGTGCTGAGAATGGTCCGTCGTGTAAATAATATCTGGTCGATGCCAATCCTGTGGTCAGAAACGGATCAATGATGATTAAGGTAGAAGGTGGACAACAGGCCACTAATAGTTATTATACATGTAGGGGACCTCACAGGTACCAGGCAGGAGTATGTAATTAATGTTTTTACATATATTACCATAAAACATAGTAGTGCCAATATATTACATAAAATATATGTAATATGTTGATACTATATAGCTTCACAAGTTCCAGATTTGTCAGAAGCTGCACAAAATTAAGATGTGTGCATGTAAAATGGCAATGGAGCTGATTCCATAAGGACTGACAAAGCTTTACAGTATGAAAAATGATAAAATAAATATGCCTTTTATGTAGAGTTGTGCTTTGACAAGTAATTGTTTAAATAGATAATTATATTTATTATTTAATGACTTCTTGTTCCTAAAATACTTGAAACACTGAATAAAATATCTTCAGCTGTCTTGTGGTTTGTTTATATTATTTAAAACAATAGTATGGTATTATTTAATTAAATGATTATATATTTGAGGAATGGCTAACAATTGAATTTACACAATTTTCCCCCTTACCCTAAATGTACTTGATCGGCCAAGACGTGTTTGTTTGGTGTCCAACGTTTGCTTCTTTAGTTTTGAACAGGAACTAAGAGATTAATGTAGCTAAAAAGTAATTGTTGTTATTGTTATTATTATTATTATTATTATTATTATTATTATTATTATAGATTATAGTACCCCATAGCTTCAGTGCTAAGCTGAAGAAGAAACTTCAGACACCAACCATATCTTGGCTGTTCATCTACATTTGATTTTGTAAGAGAGAAGGGGGAAACTGTGTAAATGTGTACTTTTATTGGTGATTTCTTAATGTGTGTGTCATCTTCTCAGGTGCGGGTCGCTCGTATCCAGCAGATAGAGAAGGACATGCTGAGGATTCGGCAGCACTTACAGTCACAGCCAGCAGAAGCTGAGGTAGCCTATACAATTCCCCGTCTCCAGCATTCAGCATCTATAATGCAGCAGTCCACTGAAGGAGGAACAGCAGGCTGCTTAGTCCTTATTAGAGGAGCTCAGCCTTGGAATAATCCGTGATGTGTTATTGACATTCATGAGCAAGGCATTTGTCTTTGTGGTGCTCTCTTCTTCCCACGTGCTGGTGCTAATTTAAAATAAACAGACTAGCACTTCAAAATTCATAGTAGCTATCTCAGATTTGAACAGATTTTGAACACATGGTTGTATCGTCTAAGCATTTAGTCCTCCTCAAGGATCTTAATCTTCTTATTTGTCTAAGACAGCAGGCTCCGTTTCAGCCTCAGTTTGTTTCCTATTTCACTTTTAATCCACTTGTTCCACTTATAAATATTTTTTGGAACAATCATAGTCTCATTTATTATTTGTGTGTGATTACACACAGTGAGTACACTATAAAATAAAAATGAAAGTTTGATTTCAAGAAGTGACTAGGAGTTAATGTATTGTCTGTTAATTTATATTAGAAGAATTCATGTGCATTTCGTAGTGGGCCAAAGAATAGTTTGCATATATTTCTATAGGAATGCATAGAAGTAGTGTTAATAGTTCCTTAAACCAACACTAAATGCTGTTTAGACTGTGAAGTCTCTTAAAGCCCTAATAGATCTGCTCTTGATTAGGGCTTGTAGAATGCGATAGGAAAGTGATTGCTTACATATGCAAACATCCAGAAGGGGGAGCTCTTGCTGGTTTTACTCATCGATGAAATGGCAAAGATGACAGTGTATGCTTGAGTTTACAATACAGTTGCCCTGTATTGATCATTTAGTGCAACTATACATTTAAATTTTAACCAGTTTTGCTTTGGCCAAAAAATGCCACATAAATCAAACTGTCAAGTCTTAGTTATTTCTCAGTAGAACATTGAGAAGAAATGTTGTTCTTTTGGCATGTGGTACAGCGCACAACAATAACATTAGACAGGACTACATAAAGTGCAGATACACAATTGTGGAACAAGTGCAGAACATACAATAAATACACCAGACAATAAACATACAGGGCATTAAATAGTCATGATAAGACTAGACATGACGACAAAACAGCAATATATATGAAGGGGCATCATATACAGTGCTCAAATGTAGGGACACCATCTTTTTTTCCATAATTACTTAATTTGTTAATGTATTATGGAAATTGCACTTTGCTGTGTTCGAAAGTACATAATTTCTGTGATAGTATAACTTATAAAACAATACTTGGGTCCAACAACACATCAGCAAATTAGAAAACCTTCACCTAACCCCCCAGTTTATGTCAAAACAAATTGTGGGACACTAATCCAAATGCACATGTTGAAACCAGAGATCTCTAGTGCTACTCCTGGAAAGCCACAGTCCAACTCATGTGACCTAATATAATAAACATTCTAAAAGATATTGCTTTAGAAAACTTGAATATTGAGTTACATTTCGTCAAATATCTGAATCTGTAAAAAATATTGGCTGCAAGATGTCTTTGAGGGAGTACAGATACACTGAAAATTCGAAAATCCAGTATGAAAAAATGTCCCGAAGTGGTCGTAAGAGACACAAAATGTTCAAAACCTGCTACACTCTGGCCATCCAAAAGAAAACATCCAGCAGATTTGCTTGGGCACTAGCTCTCCATTTCTAGCAGACTTCAAGCGATCATCCAAAAGAAGGGTATGCACCAAAATACCTAAATAAAATACGGAACACTAACCTACTTAAACACAGCAAGGAGACACTAATGTTGGTCCCACTGATGTTTGAATACATTTACTTTCTTTACTTAAATTGTCACTGGGATCATTTCACGTCTCATTTAGTAAACCTGGTCATTATTGCTGGTTGTTATAACCTTTCTGATGGATATAAAATAATTATTCATAAAGTAATAAAGAGTGTCCCAAGACCACTTTTGAGTGCTGTATAAGGAAGGGCATTAAAGCAGTATATGACAGGAGGAACTAGTGCAAACATTGTCAACTGTCCTCTCATCTAATCCAGGGAGTACATGTGTGCCATTTTATGGTGGGGGAGCCGTGTATTTCTGTCTTGAACCGCATTCTTATGGTAGGTAGTGGAAATGTTTTGCAGGGGGAAAAAGCTACATGAGCCATACATTTTTAATTGAATGAGCATGTGTGCTAAATAGGCTCTTTGGGTGACCGAGCATGAACAGACGTGAGTGTGACCTAGCTTTATGATGTACAGGTCAGGGGCCATAAGGCTTGATGTGTGGGCGGATGATTCAATATGCAGAAAGTACTGGATTATCTGTGTAGGATTATGTTACATTTAAGAACGGTAGTAAATCATCTGTGTACACGAGCACAAATGTGGGTATGTTTACATGTTTCTGTGTGCAGTTTGTAAGCGTTGGTGCGCATGTGGTCCCCTTTCCCTGAACAGATCCTATTGGACACATTTGATTTCCCTCCCCCTCTGTTGCTTTTAATCCTGCAGGCTGAACGAGCAGTTTATGTAGGTCAGGAAGAGGCAGGCTGATGCTCTTGCAGCTGCTCTAGCCTAGTGACTACTGAATCTTTCTCTTTCTCCCTCCCTCTCAGTTTTCTTACTGATTTGAATCCTCAATGAGGATAATGACACAGCCAGTCCTGTATGACCCTAATACTGGACATCAGTCCTGACTGTTTCCCTCTCTTGCGTGATGAGGTGACTTGCTTAGTCTCTCTCCTGACACTCCCTCCCCTCCTGTTTGCTGGTATAGTTTTGTGTCTTGTCAGCTTTTTCATCTTCGATGAACTAATTTTTTCTCTCCCATTAACAGGCCAAGCACGACCTTGTAACCCAAGCTGAGGGGGCCCAGGCATCAGCCGACGCTGGCATCGCGAGTGGAGCTTGTTCTCAGGTAAGGAAAGTAAAAGTTTTGATGCACTCCCCATCGAGGAAATTGGTTTCTGTCGGGGTTTAATTTTGGCAGTCGGAACAAGAGATTTCTTTTTGAGCAAGTGATCTTTTTAAAAGCCTTTACAGTCCATGCCAGGAGACTCAGTGTGCTTTGAATACTAATGTTATGAATGCAAATGTCCTGGAAATGTCTGTCTCGTTGGGCATAGGACCCCAGTGGGGCTTTAAAATTCCCTGCACAGGGATGAGCTTTTTTCTGAATTACATAGTGTTTCCCTGGCTTGCTGCCGTGAGGTTCAATAGCATTTTGCAGACAGATGGTGCCAGTGATGTATCATTGGATTAGGTACTAGGATCAAGTGTGACTCATGGACCTCAAGTTACTTCCCAAGGTTAAGAAAGCAAATGTTTCTCACAGTGTCACTGTTTTGTCTTATTAATTTTCAGTTTCTGATCATCTTAGTCAGTTGCCTGTCATTCTCATCTCTCTTGCTGTGTATAATTGGTTACAAAAGTTTGTGTGCCTCTGGCCAAATTGGGTCATGTTGATTTTCTAAGTGGGGGAAAAAAGTTAACCCATATTCTACAGCACTTAATAACTATCTGCTCAGTTTAACATTGGGAAAAATCAGTTGGCCAGTGCAAAAGATTCGACAGATTTTATATTTTAAGTGTATTTAATTTTTCTTTGCTGAACAATAGTAAACTCAGCAAATAATTAGAAATTGTGCTCTAAAATTTACCAAAAACTTAAGGCTGTGTTTAAATGTGTTCTCTGTAGAGGATGTGTTGACTTATTTTCACTTAGAAAATCAACAAAGCATATAATTTCACTGGAGATGTTCAGACCTTTCCACACGACTGTACATGCATTATTGAAAATTAAATGGGCCGCTTGACTTCATGATAAAGAGCAGTTCTAAATAATTGTCATGTTTTTCCAGGGTGTGCAGACTTGAAGGGGAATGAAACAAAGATTTTGTAAAAATAACTCTTTGTCTGCCAGGGCCCAAGCTCACGTGTGGATCACGACACAGCCAGTGAGATGAGTAGTGGAGGGAGCTACTCCGTACCACGGAGGCTAACCAGTCATCTGGGCACTAAGGTAAACCAGAACACCGTAAAACACTTTTTTCTTTTCTCTCTTTATTGATGTTACACATTTAAAAAACACAAGCTCAAAATCTTTTCACACTTAAAGCTCATTTATACTCCCTTTACATATGAAAGAGAGCACGTCCATTTCAAATGATGTAACAGTCACTGACCACGTACTTTCATGCATCCTTTACATTGGCATAGATGTTAAGCATTACATCCACTAGAGGGCAGCAACAAACATGGCGACGGTGGAGGAGGTTGTAATAATTTACCAACTATGAAAGAGGCACCAGTGTAGACTGTGGTGTCTGAAGCCATTAAATACTTTGTGATATGTGGACAGAACATTCTTTTTACTTATATTGCCAATGAGAGAAATTGTCATAGTTTCTCAGCTGCGCTGCCCCCATAGCTTCTGGTGGTATTGCTTTGTTTTGTCTGTATCTGTAAGCTTTGAAAGAACGTGCACAAATACAAACAAAATGAACGTAGAGTACAGACTGAAGGCTCTGTCCATGTCCCATATCCATATCCGTATGTAACGTCGAGCATAAACGACCCTTTAGACTGTTTGAGCTTTTCAGTTCTCAGACCACTTGACAAATAAACCAAACTCAGTATGGTTTGTTTGTGGTTCATTGTGTGCTCCAGTTATTTCATGCATCGTGAAAAGAAAACGGCCTTCATGTTTTGCTACTTGGTTAAAAGACATTGAGGCTTGCTGGACGTACACAGCCATAATCTTTCAGTACTTAGTCAGTAAAACCAAAATCCTCAGGCAAATGGCTGCCAAGACGGCATGGATATATTAAAGCAATAAGTCATAAGAGTCTGTGTGTCAGTGTTTTTACTGTGGTTAAAGGGTGATACTAAACATACATGAGACACGCATACAACGCACTGGGGCCATGATGAAATAAAGTCTCCAGTGGTTTGTGATTTTTTATAAAAAAAGGCAACAAACATTTTAATATATAGTATAATAAAATACTAAATATAGTCGCCATGGAATAGTGTTATTCTATGAATAACAACCATTTAATGGTTATAAAAGGTTTGACACTGTTGGGCTATTTTAACACTGCTTTGAAGGTCATTTGCAGCTGTTTGGCTTTCAGGTTTACTTGAGTTCAGAACTGAGACAAACATTGCTTCTGTTATGCTGTTATACTCAATGAATGCATGTCTTTTTTTTTTTAAGCTGTGACTATTTCATTGCTCCGTCATTGTTTAAGTGTCATTGAAAGTCAGATGTTCCTATAAGTAATCACTTTCATCCCTCTCAAGCAAAGAAATGCATATGCATGAAAGATAATACAGCCAGAACACTAGCTATCAATAGGTAAATAAGTACCTAACATTTTTTTAAATAACATTTTTATTCTGTCTCTTGGTGAAGATGTTAAAATACTAGTTCATAATTCACATAGTACGCCAAGGATATAAAAATGTATTTATTTTATAAATAACTTCATGCTTGTGGTCGTATGAAATAGTTTTGAACCCAAAATTAGACAAGTTTGTTTCCTGTGGACTATGGGCGGTTATTTTTGCACCCAGTTTACTTAAAACGTTTCACAACAAACACTAACATCACTTTGACAAAGCTTTCAAAACTGGAGGAAAAAAACACATTTGAGAAGAATGCTGGAATGTTGCTTTATAAGAGCCTATAGATGGGTTTGTAGATGGCTAGAGTATCTATAAGCAAATCATTAACTGCTCATGTGTGAAAACCATTTATGAACTCTCGAGTCTCCTGTTATGTCCATTTCCAGGTGGAGATGGTGTACTCTCTGCTGTCCATGCTGGGGACCCATGACAAAGACGACATGTCCCGTACTCTCCTGGCCATGTCCAGCTCTCAGGACAGTTGCATAGCCATGCGTCAGTCTGGCTGCCTGCCTCTGCTCATCCAACTTCTCCACGGCAATGATAAGGACTCTGTACTGTTGGGCAATTCTCGGGGCAGCAAAGAGGCTCGAGCCAGGGCCAGCGCTGCTCTGCATAACATCATCCACTCACAGCCAGATGACAAGCGTGGTCGGAGGGAGATACGGGTGCTCCACCTCCTGGAACAGATCAGGGCCTACTGCGAGACCTGCTGGGAGTGGCAGGAGAGCCATGAGCGTGGAGTGGACCAAGATAAAAACCCAAGTAAACCCATCCTTCATTTCTCCCTTCTTGCCCTTTACTGGTATGCCAACTCTCGTTGTAACAAGCCAGAAATAGCTTGTGGTAATGTGATATGTTTGATGGTTCTTTATTTTAGTTTAGTGAGAGAGCCTTTAAGTGGCAGGCTGCATGGTTTTCTAGGAAATGTAGCCTCAATATATCTTAGAAATATTATGTACACTGCCTTTTTCATTTTTAAAAAACAGTCATGTGATGTGACTTACAGTAAGTACATGGACATTATAAACGTTGCCCAGCAGAATTGAAAAATTTGTTAGATGAGCTAAGTGTTTGTAGGATTTATATGCCTAGTACAATTTTTCATTGGTGCGCTTTCATTTAAATTGTAGTGCCTTCTCCTGTGGAACATCAGATCTGCCCTGCGGTTTGTGTTCTCATGAAGCTGTCCTTTGATGAAGAGCACAGACATGCTATGAATGAACTTGGTAAACTTCTTTTTATGACCCTTTGACCTGTAAACATAAATCTGGATCTAAATCCAGTTTGCTTTTGTTAGAAAATTGTATATTTTGAAATAAGTCTGAATGGCCGACCCTATTATGTTTAGGTGGATTGCAGGCTATAGGTGAACTGTTGCAGGTGGACTGTGAGATTTATGGCCTTACAAGTGATCACTACAGTGTTACACTAAGAAGATATGCTGGAATGGCCCTCACTAACTTAACCTTTGGAGATGTAGCCAACAAGGTAGGTTGGGCTAATGAAACTTAATGCAAAAATAGATAGTGTTGTTTTTCTGGTTTTGTACTGGATAAATGTATTGTTGATTGAAAATCCCGCTTTTACCTTACTAGCCAAGTTAGCTTATGTAGTAGCTTCCAAAAATGCAACATGCTCTTATCTTTAATGTATTCAAAAAAACATCCATTGATTGATCAGTAGTTTTTAACTCATTAAAACATGTAGTCATTAACTAATAGTAAGCAGATAGATATCATAGTTAACTAGCTGCCACTCCTCACAATCATCCACATCTTTTTTTTGTTATGTATGTTTTTTTTTTTTGTTATAAGACACTTTATAATCCATTTAAATTTCTTTACAGGCTACACTTTGTTCCATGAAGGGCTGTATGAGAGCCATGGTAGCCCAGCTGAAATCTGAGAGTGAGGATTTGCAGCAGGTATGATTCTACCAAAATCACAGATGTGTAATTCTAAAGATTTGTAAACCTGTCTCCAATCAGTGTTATTTAATTGCATTTATAAAGGTGCACAATGAAATTATGCTGTTTTCTCTTAGGTAATTGCCAGTGTCCTGAGAAACCTGTCTTGGCGTGCAGATGTGAATAGCAAAAAGACATTGCGTGAGGTTGGCAGCGTTAGGGCCCTAATGGAGTGTGCCCTTGAGGTTCAGAAGGTAGGGGTCTATTTGGAATTTATAAAAATTTGAATTAATAGCAGCAGAAGTATAGTCATTATTCTATTTTACAACACGCCTACATTGTTATATATTTTTTAATTAATTGTTTCTTTTTATAGGAATCCACATTAAAAAGTGTCCTCAGTGCCCTTTGGAACTTATCTGCTCACTGTACTGAAAACAAAGCTGACATCTGTTCTGTTGCTGGGGCACTGGCCTTTTTAGTCAGCACTCTAACCTACAGAAGCCAAACTAACACCCTTGCCATTATTGAAAGTGGTGGAGGGATCTTGAGGAATGTATCGAGTCTTATAGCCACAAATGAGGAGCACAGGTGAGGTTATATTCTGTTGCTTCTGTGTCATAAGCAAATTGTTGCTATTCTGGTAGTTTAGATATGTAAATGCTAATGCGTATTCCTCTAAAATGTTTCTGTAGGCAAATTCTGAGAGAGAACAGCTGTCTCCAGACTCTTCTGCAGCACCTTAAGTCTCACAGTTTGACCATAGTGAGCAATGCTTGTGGGACACTCTGGAACCTCTCTGCTCGTAATGCAAAGGACCAGGAAGCACTGTGGGATATGGGTGCAGTTAGTATGCTGAAAAATCTGATCCACTCAAAGCACAAAATGATCGCCATGGGTAGTGCTGCAGCTTTAAGGAACCTCATGGCCAATCGGCCTGCCAAATACAAGGATGCCAACATAATGTCTCCTGGGTCTAGCCTGCCTTCACTACATGTAAGAAAACAAAAAGCACTAATTGAGGAATTGGATGCACAGCACCTTTCTGAAACATTTGACAACATAGACAATTTAAGTCCTAAGGCTTCTCACAGAGGTAAGCCTCGACACAAGCACAATGTCTATGGTGATTATGATGGAGTATGTAGGTCAGATGGTTATAACACTAGTGGTGTTGGTGTTCGTTCCCCTTACATGAACACACCAGTCCTCTCCAGTCCATCTTCACGGGAGAATCGGGGAAATGCAGACAACGTTAGGGCTGAGAGGGACAAGAGTTTGGATAGGGAGCGAAGAGGTTTCCCCCCAGACCCTGACTCCAGTAAAAGAATGGGGATGCAGATTCCTACCACTGCAGCACAAATAGCAATGGTAATGGAAGAAGTACAAGGCATGCACTTAGGCCTGGATGACAGAACTGCTGGATCCACCACTGACCCTCATATGGTGCAGGATGACATGATCAGACGTCAGACCAGCGTTCACAGTCACCAAAACATTTACAGTTATGGCAAATCAGACCCGTCAGGCAGAACTTGCCCAATGCCCAAACTGGAATATAGAGCATCTAATGACAGTTTAAATAGCGTAAACAGCACTGATGGCTATGGTAAAAGGGGCCAGATGAAACCATCTGTAGACTCCTACTCTGAGGATGATGAAAGCAAGTGCTGTGTCTACAGAAAATATCCTGCTGACCTTGCTCATAAGATCCACAATGCAAATCACATGGAGGATGATGATGGAGATCTAGACACACCGATTAACTATAGTTTGAAGTATTCAGATGAGCAGCTCAACTCTGGCCGGCAAAGCCCAAGTCAGAATGAGAGGTGGGCAAGGCCCAAGACCCTAGAGGATGAAATGAAACGCTCTGATCAGAAACCACCCAGGTCGCAGAGCCCAGGATACCCAATGTACACAGAGGGAAATGGTGAAAGTGAGGATAAACTTAAAAAATACCAGCCAAGATTTCAACAGGACATATCTGGAGGATTCAGATCAAGGGGATCTAATGAGCAAAGTAGTAGTGGGTCTAGTCATGGAATGAATAAAAAAATGAACCAAACGATCTGCACTGTGGATGACTTTGGTGATGATAAACCAACCAACTACAGTGAGCGCTATTCAGAAGAAGAGCAACTTGATGATCAGCCTACCAATTACAGCATGAAATACAATGATCACCATGTAGAACAGCCAATTGATTATAGTCTGAAGTATTCTGATGCTTCTTCTAAGAAGGCGGTGTTCAGTCACTCAAAACCATCTTCCCAGAGTTCTGTCAAGGACCAATTAAGCCAGGATAGTTCGTCTTCAGTGTCCTCCATAAAGAATCAGAGTAGGCAAAAACAGCTCCATCCTTCCACAGCCCAAACTCGACCAGGGCCTGGTAGAACTATTCAAAAGACAACCTGCAAGGCTTCTACAATAAATCAAGAAACACTGCAGACTTATTGTGTGGAGGACACACCCATATGTTTCTCAAGGGGGAGCTCTCTTTCATCCTTGTCCTCTGAAGATGAAATGGAGAGCTGTAAGCGGAATGTCAATGCAGCTAGTAACTACACAACTTTGCCTGTTTCTGAGAAAGAATCCACTAATGTTCCAGATCAGCGCACAACAGAAAGCCAGTCATCTGGGCATTATGTCAGAATGAAGCCCCCACGACACCAAGGATCACATGTTGGGCATGGAGAGGGTTCCAGACATCATAAAGCTGTGGAATTTTCATCAGGTGCTAAATCACCCTCGAAAAGTGGTGCCCAGACTCCTAAAAGTCCCCCCGAACATTATGTGCAAGAGACTCCCCTCATGTTTAGCAGATGCACTTCTGTCAGCTCTCTTGACAGTTTTGAGAGCCACTCCATTGCAAGCTCTGTACAGAGTGAGCCTTGTAGTGGAATGGTGAGTGGAATAATTAGCCCCAGTGATCTGCCTGATAGCCCTGGCCAAACAATGCCTCCCAGTCGCAGCAAGACACCACCACCACCACCACCACGTTCAACGTCTATAAAACAAAAAGTTACTGTGCCACCCCACTCTGAAAAACAGGATTTGGCCCCAAGGCATGCAGCTGTCAATGCTGCTGTGCAAAAAGTACAGGTCCTTCCAGATAATGACACACTTTTACACTTTGCCACAGAGAGTACTCCAGATGGATTTTCTTGCGCTTCTAGTCTCAGTGCATTAAGTCTAGATGAGCCCTTTATTCAAAAGGATGTTGAGCTGAAGATAATGCCTCCAGTTCATGAAGATGACCATGGAAATGATACAGAACCTGAAAAGGATGAGACTAAAGAGTCCAAGGGACAAGAGAAGCCTCCAGCAGCTTCTGAACCTCAGAAAGACATCCTGGATGACTCTGATGATGATGATGACATAGAGATCCTGGAAGCCTGTATAAATTCAGCCATGCCTACAAAGTCATCAAGAAAACCCAAGAAACAAGCCCCTCCAGCAGCCTCAAGGATACCCCCACCAGTGGCCCGTAAACCAAGCCAACTCCCCGTTTACAAACTACTTCCCTCACAAAACAGGGGGCAACAACAGAAACATGTAGCCTTAACTCATGGAGAGGACATGCCTCGGGTATACTGTGTAGAAGGAACACCCATAAACTTCTCTACAGCAACATCTCTTAGTGATCTTACTATTGATTCACCCCCGAATGAGTTGACCACTATTGAAAGTCCAGCTCCCCATGCAGAGGCATCCAGTCAAAGACGAGACACTGTCCCAGAAGGCAAAAGTGCAGAAACAAAGGATATTGTTGTATCCTCTGACCCACAAGGTGCTGCAGCTGAGAATGAGGGAGATGATATTCTTGCTGAGTGCATCAACTCTGCAATGCCAAAGGGTAAAATACACAAACCTTTTAGAGTGCAGAAAATGTCAGATCAACCTCAGCTCCCACCTACTGCTACTGGCAATCTAGTTCAACAAGATTTTGAAAAGAAAAAGCCAACTTCCCCTGTAAAACCTATGCCACAAAGCAGCGAATACAGAGCAAGGATGCTCAAGCGGCCGGATGCCCCTAGTAACTTAGCAGAAGCACCATCATATCCTGATAAAAACATTGAAACAAAAAAGCAAGAGCCCAAAGCTGGCCCCAGAGAGTTTGCAGATAAGCCTGTAAATGCTGAGGAAAGAACACGTCCAGGTTTTACCTTTGATTCTCCGCATCATTACACACCGATCGAGGGTACTCCTTATTGCTTCTCTCGTAATGATTCTCTCAGTTCACTTGACTTTGAGGATGATGATCTTGACCTTTCTAAAGAAAAAGCTGAGCTCAGAAAAGATAAGGAACAAAGAAAAGTTCCACCTTCAAAGAGCAATGGAGAGCAGTCTGGAAACACCAACAGAGTGACAGCATTTCAGACTGCCCCAACTAAGCCCCTTCAGAAGCCAAGTTTTCCACTAGCATCAAAGGAAAATACAGGAACAGTGCCTGACGAAAAGCAAAAGTTTTCAATTGAGGACACTCCAGTATGTTTCTCCAGAAACTCATCTCTAAGTTCACTAAGTGACATTGACCAGGAAAACAACAACAAGGATTGCTCACACAAAGAGGACACAACGCAGGTGGAAATGCCAAGGCCTCAAGCCTCGGGTTATGCACCAAAAGCCTTTCACGTTGAGGACACCCCTGTATGTTTCTCTCGAAATAGTTCTCTTAGCTCTCTCAGTATTGATTCTGAAGATGACCTTTTACAGGAGTGTATCAGTTCTGCAATGCCAAAGAAGAAAAAGCAACCACCCAGAAGTAAAGGTGATGACCAAGGAGTTAAGGAGGAGAAAAACATTATGGCTGATGGCATTCTAGCAGAGGAACCAGACCTCATCCTGGATCTCACAGACACACACAGTCCTATTTCAGAGCAAGCCTTATCGCCAGATTCTGAGTCCTTTGACTGGAAAGCTATCCAAGAAGGTGCTAATTCAATTGTTAGCAGTCTACACCAGGCTGCAGCCAGTCTATCTCGACAAGGCTCTTCTGATTCAGATTCCATCCTTTCTCTAAAATCTGGCATATCTATTGGGTCCCCTTTCCACCTCCCTGCAAATCAAGATGATAGCAAGCCGGCAGCAAACAAAGGTCCAAGAATATTAAAACCTGGTGAAAAAAGCACTTTAGAGACAAAGAAAAAGGAGGAAGAAGCTGCTAAAAGCTTAAAAGGGGGTAAGAAAGTGTATAAAAGTCTCATCACCGGAAAACCCCGACCTAGTCTTGATAGCATGGCCTCTCAACAGAGGCAAGCTCAAATTCCTGTGGTTTCTAGAGGGAGGACAATGACTCATGTACCTGGAGTGAGAAGCAGTTCACCTAGTACCAGCCCTATTCCAAAAAAGCCTCCTTCACGTGGCACGAAACCCCCACCTCAGGGACCAAATTCTGGAAACTCTCCCAGAACCATGAAGGCACCATCAAAGTCAGATCCTAGTCCTGCCAGAGAACCACCTGCTTCCCAAGGAGGATCAAGTAAAGCCTCCTCTCGATCAGGATCCAGAGACTCCACACCATCTAGGCCACCTCAGCAAGCCCTCACTAGACCCATGCAGTCTCCAGGTCGCACCTCTGTCTCACCAGGTAGGAATGGTCTGACCCCACCTAACAAACTCTCTCAAATACCTCGTACTGTTTCTCCTAGTGCTGCTTCAAAACCATCTGGGTCTTCACGAATATCTTATACCTCTCCTGGAAGGCAGTTGGGGCAAACACCTCCAAAGCATAGTGGCTTGCCACGGAGTACCAGTGGTATACCCAGAAGTGAGTCTGCCTCAAAAAGTCTAAATCAGTGCGGAGCAACTGGCACATCAAAAAAGGCAGAGTTATCTCGAATGTCATCCACAAAGTCAAGTGGCAGTGAGTCTGACCGATCAGAGAAACCTGGGCTTGTTCGCCAGTCCACATTTATTAAAGAAGCCCCTAGTCCAACATTAAAAAGGAAATTAGAAGAGTCTGCTTCTTTTGAATCCTTGTCTCCTTCCTCTCCTAGCCAATCACAAACCCCTGTATCAAGCCCGTCTTTACCAGATATGTCTCTTAGTCTGCCCTACCAAGGAAGTGGTTGGAGAAAGTCCCCTCAAAGCCAAAACTCTTCTGAAAATGGAGATGGGAAGTCACTTAGACGGCATGATATCTCCCGTTCCCATTCAGAGAGCCCCTCGAGACTCCCAATCAACAGAGCAGGGACATGGAAAAGGGAGCACAGCAAACATTCATCTTCTCTCCCAAGAGTTGGTACTTGGAAAAGAACAGGCAGCAGTTCGTCCATACTCTCTGCCTCATCTGAGTCAAGTGAAAAGGGCAGAAGCGAAGATGAACGTCAGCCAGCCAATCCACCTCAACGATCTGGACAGAACAAGGAGGGAGGACTGGAACGGAAAGGAACATGGAGGAAAATAAAAGACAGTGAAGCAAGTCCCTCAATGACTCTAGACTTGCCAGATCCAGCTGGGGATTCACATCAGATGAGTGCTGCTATGTCTAAGAGTGAGGATGTGTGGGTGAGAATTGAAGACTGCCCCATTAATAACCCTAGATCTAGTAAGTCACCAACAGGAAACACGCCTCCAGTCATTGATAGTTTGCCTGGAAAAGCACATCCCTCAGATTGGGACTTAAGTGAAATCCATCATAAGCAGCCAGCATCAAATGAAAACGCTGCAACGCGGCGTCTCGGTTCGGAAACTAATTTGAACCTAATCAGAAGTAGCGAGAGTCTTGACAAAAAAGTGACGGATATCAAGCCTGTTTTAAGCAACCCAAACATTGCCACTGAAGTTCATGAAATTGCAGTTGCTGAGCGCACACCTTTCAGCTCAACCAATTCCAGCAAACACAGCTCCCCTAGCGGTGCTGTTGCTGCCAGGGTTAGTCCATTCAATTACACACCGAGCCCAAGAAAGAGCAGCGCTGACGGCACAACACCGAGGCCATCTCAGATCCCTACTCCAGTTAACAGTAATGTCAAAAAGAGAGACTCTAAAGGAGACACAACAGAGAGTGGGTCCTATATTGTCACTTCGGTGTAAAACATTGACAGTTAGCCTTAAATTGTCAAAACTATGGACAGAAAAATACATAAGCAGGCTTGGATCATGTTTTTATTTTGTCTGTCTCTGTGGGAAAAAAAATACAACTATTGTTGAAGTCGTTGTAGTTGAAGCCAATGTAAAGCTGTGTATCTTTTGCTGGTAGAATTGTGGCAGGCACACTCGGTTGTTAGAGAGTGGCTAGGAGGGAGGACTCAAAGGATATTGTATGTCAATTTGTACTGTACAGATTTAATGATGTATATATTTAATTTAAACTTGCGCCAAGATCCTGTATCTTTCCAGACATGAGATAGATAATCACTTAAAGTGGAATATTTGGGATGTGGAGATAGCTTTGGTGGACTTCTGTACTAATGCATTTGATTTTTAAGGAAAACTGTACACCTGTATTAATTCAAATGTCAAACTCATTTTTACTGCCACATATTGTATGTTTTATGACTTCTGCTCCTTGCATGAACCGAACCAGTGGTCTGGTATTTCCTGAAGTAAAGATGAACATTTCTGTGGACACATGATGTACTGATAGCTGTAGTGTAACATTTTACACTTTTGTGTGTGCTTTTGAAAGTAAGGAATTAACCTTGGAAAAAACTTTTGAATGAGGATCTTTACAGTGGACATAGATTATAAAACCGTAGCTAGATTCATTGCTCTGCTGTTTGTGTATAATGTTTCCAGTTGAGGTGAGTGTCTTCTAAAGGACACTTTGTTCTGAAGTTGTTTCAAGGACTGAAGTTGTTTCAGAATTTAAATTATTACTGTAGGTTTTGGTGTTGGTACCTTTTTTTTAATTTTTTTTTTTAAAGCTCATTTTATTTTACCCTTTATTCACAGTTATTGTTAAAGCACATAATCAGATATACTATTCTGCCAAAACATGTTGTGAATGACCACATTTTATTTTTTTTTTCTCATGCAATAAAGTAGGCTGATCGATGTTTGACACGCATTTCAAATTACAAATTGCAAATCAACATAATAAACACCTTAATTTTGGTGAGATTTGCTCTGTGTGTTTTGACTCTGCATGTTCAACGTTCCTGTTCTTTTTAGCATAATGACTAGTTAATCAGACTAAAATTCCACAATAACAGTTGTATTTTTTATGTTAACTGTTAAGATACAACTTCTTAAGCCTGGTAAGGTCAGTCAGGGGAAACAAGCAGGAAATATTTAGCAGAGAATTACACAGAAGAGACCAACACTAATTATAAGATCACATTCTAAGTATTTGTCCACACTTGTCTGCTATTTTTTTCCTTCCTTCCTTCACAGTCCTTCCAATCTTAAAGCTGTCCCCAAAGGTGTTGTTAACTTTTAACCTTTTTTTTTAATTTTTTTTTTATTTTTATTTATTTATTTATTTTTACACTGTCCATTCAAAGAGATACTAACATTGACGCTAAGCAACTAACCAGCAGGAGTGTAGCCAGAGCTTTCACTTCGGGGTGGCAAATGAAACAATGCCAGGAGAAACTTCAGTATAACTCTAACTTAAAATGTCATGTTTTCGATAAACCTAGATTCTCAATGTGTGTTGTCTTGATTTTAGTATCATATGACGCTGCTTCTATAATGTGGACGCTTTGTTATGACATAGCTTTATATTTATTGCCAAATAGAGTGACTTAACTTTACCTCACAGTCTCCGAGGCTGCGTCCTGAATCGCGAACTTCTATGCTTTACATACTACACTAGGGCAGGCTGACTGTCTCACTTTGTTTAACAGGGGTGGCCAAAGGAGTGGCCGAACTTTACGTCAAGGCCACCCCTTGGCTCCTCCCCTGCTACCCAAGCTCATCTTAGCTGCCTCGCAAATTCCTTTCTCATGTGTATCTAAAATTACTAAAAGAGAGATTTCTGAGGAGATGAGATGTAAGATAATGAAAATGAAAGATATGGTGAAAATGGGACTCCTAATAATGGTCAAAGAACTGATAGACCACCAAAACGGTACCACATTAAAATAAGACTACCCTTATAGACGGTTTATAGGATTAACTAGAAATGAATATGGGTTCACTATTTGGCAAACAACAGGTAACTGTTGTAAATGCTTATTAATTATTGTAAGGTCTTTTAGATCTAATTAATCACCGTTAATAAAATAATTTTAAACCGTTCATAAACGATTTATAAAGATAGTCTTGTTTTAAAGTGGTCCCTATTTGGATATTTAGTTGTTAAGGCAGAATTTTCTCTTAAATATATTTTCAGATTTTTTTCTGGTGACTAAAAGTGAATAAATTGTACTTAATGGCCATTTTTACTGAAAATGAAACAAATGAAAGGCAATCTCTGACTTCTGCATGATACTGTATATCTTTTGCACAGTATTTGAAGTGCCTATTATCATGGCCTTGCTAATTCATAGGCTGCAAATAGCTACGTTATTGAGTAATAACTATGCTGATTTAAGCATCTCCTAGTGCACATTCATTTGTTTATTATACATAAGAATCTTTTGCACATCATTTCTATGAAAATGTCTGGTTGGTGCTTTTTGATGCAAGTTTAATGAGATGAGGTATGGTTCATGCAAGCTCATAAAGGTGGTTCTTCCAGGGTTTTTTAGTAAAGAACACTCAAAGAACCCTTTGCATGATTAAAGGGTTCTTTGCATCGTGAAAGGGTTCTTCAGACTGATGGCGAATGTGCTGTAGATGGCACTATATAGAAACCTTTTGAAAAGGGTTCTGCTATTATTATGATGTCAAGCTTGTTAAAGTAGAAGCGTTTTCATAAAGGTTCTGTATAGAACCATGTACAGCACATTCTCCAGTCTGAAGACCCTTTTCATGATGCAAAGAACCCTTTAATCATGCAAAGGGTTCTTTGAGTGTTCATGGTTCGATACAGAACCATTTTCTTTACTATAGAGCCCTTGAAGAACCATCAACAGGTCAGCACATTCTTAGTGCATTGACTACATTTCTTCACTTTAGAATGAAGCAGTGGTCATCAACCCTGCTCGTGGAGATCTGCCTTGTCAGAGTTAAGCTCCAACCGTGATCAACTCCATCTGATCCATGTAATCTTTGCCTTGTTATTGTGTTGTTTACAGTGGTTGGTTAGCTGAAAAAGGTGTATTCTCTTTGTGATGGGGTGATAAATGTAGGTAGGTGGATCTCCAGGAAGAGAGTCGGAGACCACTGGAATAGAGGGCCAGTTTGTCTTGATTTACACCTAACTACTAAAGTATTGATATGAATCAAAAGATGCTCTGGTCATAAACATATTCAACGGAAAACTACACATAGGCCTCAACAACTGAATCTAATTATTTTTTACATATAGTGCACCTTTATTATATCATCCATTTCTTTCAGGAGGCTTGTGTTCAGTTTTTTTAATGAAATCTGCAGGGATGTTTTTCCACACCTCCAAAGTTCAGTCGTACAAGTTGGTTGCATTTTTCGCTTCTCACAATCCAAATAATCCCAAACACATTCAGTGATGTTGAGGTCTGGACTTTTGTGTTTTCTTGATTTTTTTTTAATCTATTTTCTTTTCGCAGTAAAGGGCTTCTTGACAGCTACACGTCCTTTCAGACTCATAGTGCTAATTGTCTTCTCAGAATGGAAGGATGGACAGAAACAGCTGTTTGATGTTTTCAGATCTGAAGCAAGAGTGGAGCTTGATTTTCTCCTCTCTCTCAAAGATGAAAGCTTTAAGAGCTGTTTATCTGAAGGGGGACAGTTTTGGTGGTCTTCCAGGCCTTGCAGTGTTATTTAGGTTATCTAAGCTTACTAGCTGTTTTGACTGGTAACTCAAAAAGGCTGTGTCTTTACAGTAAGTGAAAATAGAATATAACCACACAGACTGGCTTTTTGCACTAACTCCGCCTTTTAAATCATGTGACTGTATAAGACCACAGTGCCTACTCAGGCTGTAATATTCATATCTACCATGAACAAAAACAAGGCAGCACTGGGAGAAGCTGTGCTCAAGGGCAAATTAGACAGTAAAGTTATTTGGTATTATCCAGAATATAAGAGACTGCTATCTTTCAATCACTTCACGTAAGTATTAAATAAATAAATAATGAAAATGTCTGTTTAAGAGTGACATTTGCTAAAAAGGTAACATTACGTAGTAGAATAGAACGATGTTGGTTGATATGCTGTAGTGGATCACACCACTTCATGTTTAAGACTTTATTGCCCATCTGGGCAAAAAGGGAATTTGCATACTTCTATCATATCAAGTTTATTCTGGCATTGTAGTTTTTAGCAATTAAAGGGGAACTCCACCAATTTTTCAAAATTTCTACATAAGTAGTTAAGATGTAAAATCACTCAGAGTGGTTTGAAGTGAGATGGTTCATCTGTAGAGAAACTTATTGACTCAGATTTCTTTACAATGGTGGTGATAGGAGGGGTCACAATGTCTGCAGTGCAGATATGGCCATTTTATTTACTATCCAAAACCACTAGTGAAACTACACTTGCCTTCCAAGTTTTGATGACGGTAAAATAGTCATAAATCTGAAAAAAAATGTTTCTTAGGGGATTATTTTACCTCACAGGCATGTACCTTTGCGCTCCACCATAAATAGATTAAAGTAAACTGATTAAAAGACATTTTTGGACAAAATTTCACAAATCCTCCTTAAAACAATGTCTCAAACATCAGGCCAAGTATTCATAACCATTTCATGTAATAACTCTCTGTAAGGGAGCTTTTACAGGCAGATGTCTGGTTCCCATCACCACCACTGTAAACCTTTCTGACTCTAAGTTTCTCTAGAACAGAGCATTTCACACCAAACCACTCTGATTGACTCTGTTTACGTCTCAACCATGTAATTATGCAGATATTTTGGTCATGTTTCTAAATGATTATGTACTGTCCTTTGTTATTGCCTTACCAAAACATTTGAATACTTCTTCAGATTAACTTGTTTAAAGATTAACAGATTAAATTGTTTCAATCAAAAAAAAAAAAAATGTTTTTATAGCCATAGGTTGCTTATTTTTATATACAGATATTCATATACAGATGTAACAAATGTAGATGTAAGCAATAGCTGTAACAAATCAAACAGGGATGGTAACCCAGAGAGAAAGAGTGGGTGGTAAGAATGTCACAGCTTGGAAGTAAAGCAGTATGTATGTATATATATATATATATATATATAATATATATATATATATATATATGATATATATATGTATATACCTATATATACTATATATATAAATCTATTTCCTTTTCTCAGTAATGGCAGGATGTTGCTATGCAACCTTACTGAAACTGGCAAACTGAAACTTTCGCAGTAAAGAGCTATATAAATCTATTTCCTTTTCTCAGTAATGGCAAGATGTTGCTATGCAACCTTACTGAAACTGCCAATTAAAGGCTCTGATAACACATTATATATAGATCTAAAATGCACATAGATATAAATGCAAATATATATATGCAAACACAAAAAAATGCACGTCATTTTAATAAGACTTTTAAATTTTGAAAAATATATTTCTTACTGATGTTTAAAGTCAATTCAGCAAGTGTTTCCTAGGTGCTCTAACATTTACAGCTCTATGCAAAAGTCAGAGACCATCTGTTTTTCTTAATGGCAGATGCTGTTTACACTAAGCGCATATAGAATGATGTTGCTATGCAAATAGCAAGATTTTACTATTTACACATAGGGTCCTAAGTAGCATCATGCTATTAACAGTTAGGATTGGTTGCACCAGAGAACTTGTAGAGAGGAGAATTACCACTCTGTAATGTCTTCTGGGTTTCTCAAACACTAGAGGGCGCTCCTGAGCGAGTCCAAAATAAATGGGTTTATATGGAGCATTTGAGTAAAGTCATAGTTTATAAATGCTTGAACATATTTAAGATAAAAGAATACATTAATTTCCTAAACACAGAACAGCTTAAACAATTTAACACCTCTATTATATTTTTAAGAGCTTTTAAACTAATTATAAGAGTTTAAAACGGTGCCTCATGTATGTACCTGACATCAATGAGCATGAACAGCCAATCAGCACTCAGTAGCAGTAATGCTAGCTTTGTACTGCACAAAACTGGTTTGCTGTAGAAAAAAGGGAAACATACAGGTGAGTTTTCTTTGCTTTTTTAGTGAAATAAATCCTTCTACTTTCTAAAATTAAAGGAAAGTTCTGGGCGAGTGATTAGAAACTATTTAACCTTTCGTTTTCAGCCATTGAGCTCACCCCCATTCACTGAGGACTCGCCATTTACTGTTTTACAATCCTGTTGTTGATATAACAGGGGAAATAGGAAGTGCCCAGGCTCCTCATAAACTGACTGTGGTTGTGCCACCTGACTTTTCAGACTAATTTCAAATTAAACAAGCATCTGCTTAGACGCTCATAGAAACTTTTGTCCTTGAACTTGAGTTTATACTTACATTCTTCAATTAATAATAAAAACATTTATTATAATAATTTCACATTTCCATGGGTTTCCTGAGGTCAGACTTTTTTTTAATTTGTGAAAGAGCTACTGACCTCACTTGAGGTCACTTGGGTCTTTTTTATGATGCTATACCCTGGCCCCTCTTTTGTAAAAGCATGTCAAAATAAAAATGCTTTGTTTTTGGTTGTGCCACTTGACATTTGAGGAAGTAAGAACTTGCAGACAAAAGTTCTTTGGTGACTTGAGCACTTTTAAAGTTGCTGTATTTTACCATATGATTTTTACTGTAAAGTTTTCAAATATAAAACAATGCTAAACTATTTTATTTAGAATTTTATATAATAAAAGACCCTTTTTTTGTTTTCTTATTCAACATATATGGGTGGACATTTGCACCACCTGATATTTTTAGACTTGTGGATCCAAAAAGAAACTAAAATGAATTTTATATGGATTCACTGAAAATTGTTTAACATAAAAGAGGTATTATTGAATAATTTGCTATATGGCATGCATTTATTAAGTATTTTTTGGGCAAATAATGGACTTAGACACAAAAAATGCCATCATGTCAATGACCCTTAAGCTGGCACCAAAAAGAGGAAACACAATCATAATTAAAACTAAAATTAAGTTTTGAATCTAAAGATGCCCTGAAGTTCTCGAATGACAATATTGAGAACATTTAGCTAGCAGCACCCAATCCCAATTAAATGAAATGAAGCGTCTGCTAACTTTCCCAGGTCCTTTAAGCCTTTTTAAGCTTGTATGACCAGAAAAACAATATCTAGCATTAGCAGAGGATGCAGTTTTAACATGACCGCCATGTTGTAATTGAACAACAGCTTGTTTTCTGCTTTCAGACCCAGAGGGAGGCTAAGAGAGGCACAAACTGAATTGCAGCTATACTGAAAAGGTTCATCTGCATGTCAAATTACCGTTTGTATATGCACACATCTCATTTAATATTTTTGATCCCAAAATTGAAACCTCAAACCTTTTGAAAACTAATCCTAAACAGGGAAGATAGAATACCCCAAAACATTTTATTAGTCTCCATTAGGACTATGTTATTGATTATGGGCTCATTTTCTTACATCTTTGTAAAATAGGAAGTACAGGAAAAGGGCACGTCACTGTGTGAAGGCATTAGTTTCCTTTTTCTCTTTTAGTTGCTAATTAGATGACTCACGACTGAACTTCAGCAGTAGTTGATGTTCTGTCTTTATAATTGATGTAGAACAAAGCAGGATTGACTGCCATGTTAGGCAATTCTTAAGCCAGAAGAGCCTTCTAAGCACATCAGATTGAGGTAAATATATGATTATGATGAAATACAGCATTTTTAGATGAAATTGAAAGCTAATGCAATGTAATTACTTGCTTATTACCTGTAATGGGCTATTGTTTTTTGAGGGACCATTGCACATTGAACTGAATTCTGCATAATTTAGTCTTTGAGATGTAAACAGTCATTAAGTGGTTTGTGAAGTGGTTTACTGTAGAGTGTACAGTGGTGCTGAGAAGAACCAGAAGTCGCAATGCCTACAACACAAATATAGTCATTTTCTGACTAATGCTAGTGCTAATTCTGGAAAAAAAAGGTTTCTTTGGGGACTATTTTGAAACGCCCTGCATGTACCCCTCCACCAAGGAAAGAATACATTTTGGGTCTAATCTTTACCTCGAACTACCATAAAACAATATGTCAGACATTAGGTCGAGTATTTATAAACACTTCATGTAATAACTTCCTGTGAGGGAGGTTTTAGAAGCGTTACACTCTTCAGACGTCTGGTTCCCATCACAACCACTGTGAACAATTTTGAGGTTTCTGTGAAACTCGTAATGACTTTGTTTACATTTTAACATTTTAATCATGCAAAAGCGTTGAAATGTTGGTGGAATCCCCCTGAAGTTTTTTTGTGTTTTGTTTTGTGGTCCAGTTAAAGCCTACATTTGTTTAGGTGGTTTCAGGACATGCATATATATACACCAGCCCTTCATTTGCAACTGATTTGATGAGGTTGATTGCATCACAGCAGCTGTTTTCCTCAGGATTTCCTTTCCTTTTCAAGTTGCGGTCAGAAATTTTGTGGCGCCGCGTACGCTTTGACAGGGTAAGTCAGCTCTGCTCTTCTGTTATTTGATATGTATTTGAGGGGATTAAATGTAAAGTTGACACTATTGTAAATGTAAAAGTTCAACATTCAAAGCTTCCTGTTTCAGTCATTTTTGGAACATTTTGTTGAAATGAAATGCAGTTTCAGGATTTGTTTAAGGATATTTACATGCTGTGCCACTTCAAGCAATATTCCGTTTTTTGTCATTTTGCTTTATAATGAAACAAGCAGTGTTCATCAGACAGACAGCTGTTGAGAATTTCAGGACTTAATATAAATAATCAATTTTTTCATGAAACATATTAACAGAAGAACTACATGAAGAAAGTGGCCTCCAGTAAGCCGTCGGTCTGATCAACACTGTTGGGATATAATGGAATACAAGTATTGGGAATATATGTTCAGAATAGAGAAATTAAGTGTATTCAGTCCAAGTCACATTTTGTAAAAGCAGTATTCAGAATACAGTTACACATTTTTACAGTTTTACATTTTTAGGAGAATACTTTTATAATGATTACACACTAAATAAAAACATACAGTCTTCAAAAGAAACACCATCAATGCTTGTTTATTAACTATCTTAGAATCAGCACACAACATTAGACAAACTGTAAAGAGGAATTCAGTTAACTGGCTCTTTACAAACACTGAAGTTCCTACTAGAGCCTGATTAGCCTGATATATCAATGTGATCAGTTATTAATCTCAGTGTTACTGAGCTCTGCTAAAGCCTGAGTAGACTGATAAATCAATGTGATCAGTTATTAATCTCAGCTTTACTGAGCTCTTTTGAAGAATGAAAAAATGAATAATCTCCTCAGTAGTGGACATGTTTGAGCAGCAGTGGACTGAAGCAGCCGGCGAGAGAAAAAAGTTTGGGAATTTTTGGAACTTCATTTAAATAATAAGCTAATTTTTCATGAAACTTATTAACAAAATAGTTACAAGATGAAAACTGCCCACTAGTAACAGCCAGGAAGAGTGTTTTTCCCATGTATTGTAAATGTATTCTGAATATATTACTTTCTATGTGTTTTATTGGAATACTTTACTGGATACATTTAGGACAGTATATTCAGTATTCTGCCATCAATACTTTACTTTTGTTTTTAAGTATTTTGCGCAACCCTGTTCATGAACTGTGCAAAATTGGGATACTTTCTGGGAAATGTTCCAGGGGATCCACATAAAAGCTTGAAACTGTATTGAATGTAGATTTTATTTGGAAATTATAGACCCCATTTTTCACTTTTCACTGATTTTTTTTCAGGTAAAGTCAGACAGTAGCAGTTGTGCAAAAAGTGCAATAGCCTATCAGCAGTGCAGTAAAATCCTGTGTAGAACAGCAAAACACAACAATCATACTTGGCTAAATGAATGGTAATCATGGCTTTAGCCTATTATTGAACAACCAGGTTTAAATACATTGATAGCTTTTACATACTGTGGTGGACATGACAGGTCTTACAAGTTTCATAATAAATGACCAAAACAAACAATGGCTTTAAAAAGTGTCCCACTTTACCAGAAGACTATATGTAGCATATGTAGCAAATTTCTGAATATCATCAGTTGGAAAGTCCTTAAAACCTTAAAACTATAAGTTGACACATCCTTTACAATGAATAAACTTTAAAATGTAATTTTTCTGCAAACAATTTCTGTTTCTTTTTATCATATTGCAAAAAATAAAACATGAAATAGAAAGTGTGCCATAACTTTTATACCGACCACATTTTATCTTTTCTTCTCTCCGCCAATATGTTAAATTTAGCAAACAAACAGTAATTATGCATTAAAATAGAAAGTTTTCTTCCGACAACAGTGATATGTTCTCTGTGGAGGATGTGTTCACTTATTTTCACTTAGAAAATTAACAAAACCTAATTTTATTAGGGGTGCCCAAACTTTTGCATACAACTGTATTGTCAAATTTATATTGTCTGACTTTTGCAAAATTCACTGAACTGGATAATTAAATGTGTGGAATTAAAATATATTTGTAAAACATTTCCACAAACAATTGACTAAATCCCAATAAACTCTTGCAAATTTGACTGTAATGTGGGTATCCAAATGATTTTTTTGTCATGAAATGCACACAGAAGTCCAACAGCAATGCTAATATAATCACTTCTGACCATGTGCACTTCTGAAGACACTTCGATCATCCCTCAAACTAGCTCAGTAACACTGAGATTAATAACTGATCATCACATTGATTTATCAGTCTACTCAGGCTTTAGCAGAGCTCAGTAACACTGAGATTAATAACTGATCATCACATTGATTTATCAGTCTACTCAGGCTTTAGCAGAGCTCAGTAACACTGGGATTAATAACTGATCATCACATTGATTTATCAGTCTACTCAGGCTTTAGCAGAGCTCAGTAACACTGAGATTAATAACTGATCATCACATTGATTTATCAGTCTACTCAGGCTTTAGCAGGAGCCTTAGTGTTTGTAAAGAAGATGTTTGTTAAGGTCCTCTTTGGAGCCAGTTCACTGACAGTGCACTTGTCCTAAAATAGTTCATAAAAAGGATTTTAGAATCATACTTGTATGTTTTTTTCTATTTAGTGGGTAAATGTTGTAAAAGCATTCTAAAAATGTAAGAGTTAACTATATTTTAGAATATGTATTCTGAATTCTGAAGTACAGGACTGCAGTTTCATTTTTTTTGGTTAGGTTTTGAAAATGCTAATTTGAAAAAAATGTACTTTCATTATCCACTTTTGATGTTTGACATTCAAATGCTTGTATTTGAAGAAATATGACTTATGATCCTTTTTATTTCCCAAACAGTGATAAAAGCTGCATTCTTCCTCAAAGGTGACAGAATGAATTATATCAATGACTCCTACGACTATTTTTTCAATGACAATTGCACTTTTTTGCCTGAGTTGGATGATCATGAGGCCATCAGAGTGGTGTCACTGACCTTCTACTGCCTGACCTGTGTCCTTGGAGTCCCTGGGAATGCCATCGTGGTGTGGATTGCTGGTGTGAAGATGAAGAGGACAGTGAACACCACCTGGTTCCTTAACCTGGCCATCGCTGACCTTCTCTGCTGCCTCTCCGTACCTTTTACCATGGCAGAAATCCTTTTAGAAGGCCACTGGCCATATGGAAATGTCATGTGCAAGGTCCTGCCTGCTGTCATCGTTCTCAACATGTTTGCCAGCGTCTTCACGTTGAGCCTCATAGGTCTGGATCGCTTCATCCAGGTTGTTAAGCCAGTTTGGGCTCAGAATAATCGTAGCCAGGGGCTGGCTTGGGTATGCTGTGGTGTGGCCTGGGTCTTGGCTTTTCTCTTAAGCCTGCCCAACATGATCCTACGTGAGATTTACACTTCTGAAAACTACACGATCTGTGCATTCAATTTTGACATTGAGGAAGAAGACCTTTGCAAAGAAGACGGCGTTCATGACTCTTACAGGGCATTAACTGTCAGCAGGTTTGTGCTGGGCTTCCTGATACCTCTGCTGACCATAACAGCCTGCTACAGCCTCATCGCCCGGAAGGTCAGCAGCAGGCAGTTCCGCTCCGGAAGAGCGTTCCGCATTATGCTGGCCGTCGTCGTGGCCTTCTTTCTGTCCTGGTTGCCATATCACGTGCTGGGCTTGGTAGTGTCCTATGGTGGGCCGCAGGTCTCCAGGCTAGCTAGACCGATAGACCCATTGGTCATCTCTTTGGCATACATCAACAGCTGCATGAACCCTGTCCTGTATGTGTTCATGGGGCAGGATTTTAAAGAGAAAGTCAAGATGTCTCTGAGACGGATCTTCGAGAGAGCATTCAGTGAAGACGGCACACACTCTTCGGTGAACTCCAAAGGAGTGCAGTCTCACGCCACCAACACATCAGACGCACTCTGACCAAACACCGGTGGATTTACATGCATTTATATTGTATATAGTAGATCACTGACAGACAAAACCTGCATGCAACTCCTCTTGCATTAATTTTTTTAAACTGAACTGTACTAATACCTTATGCCAGTACCTTTCAGTAAAAGTGTAATATACACAATGTGGGCAAAAGCATTGGGACACCCCTCCTAATTATTGAGTTCAGGTGTTTCAGCCAAACCCATTGCTAACAGGCAGATAAAATCAAGCACATAGCCTTGCAGTCGCCATAGACAAACACTGGCAGTAGAATGGATTGTACTGATGACCTCAGTGACTTTAAATATAGCACTGTCAGCTATTATTGTGAAATGAAAGTGTCTAGAAGCAACAACAGCTCAGCCACAAAGCTGTAGACCACGCAAACTCAGAGTGGGGCCAGCAAGTGCTGAAGCTCACAGTGCCTATCCTCTGTTGAATCATTACTGAACTCTACTGAATGGATGGGCAAAACATCCCACTACACACTGCAAAATCTTGTAGAAAGCTTTGCAGAAGAGTGGAAGCTGTTAAAGCTGCAAAGGGGGACCAACTCCATTATAATGCCTATGGATTCATAATGGGATGTCATGAAAGCTCCTATAGGGTGTAATGTGTAGGTGTCCCATGTCTCAATACTTCTGTCCATATAGTGTGTGCGTATATATATATATGTACTGTACGTAACAGGGATAAGTATTATACTTAAGCTTATACTGCCGAGTATAATTGATATTTGTATGTATTTCACCTATACTTGTACTTAATGTTTTCATTCAGAAATGCTTCAGCAAAGTATAATTAAGTATTCTTGCTTTGTACATAAAGTGTACTTGGCTTATAGTTTGGGGAGCAATAGCTTAGAGTAAATAAATGAGTGGAACTGAACCTGATATTTTATCTATACATTGGGCCTCATTCACCAATACCTTCCTAATTTTTTCTTAAATTTGTTCTTGAGAAAGATTCTAAGAACAGGTCTACGTCAGATTCATGACGTGTTCTTAAACTCCAGAATTGTTCACTCAATTGTGCTCTTGAGCGTGTATAGATTCTGTTCTTACCTAAGAACAAACCCTTAATAAGAAAACATTGGTGAATGTCAGAATCTTCGTGAAAACTGCATAAATGGGTTTTAAGAACAGTAGGGTTAAGAACAGTTGGTGAATGAGGCCCAGGGTTATTAACCTACATGGAAACTTTTGGCTGATTTTATTGACAGTTCTTCCAAGGTGTGAGTTTGTTCTCTTTGTTTTGAACTGGAATGTCAATTTAAGTGGTTATATTCTTATATTTTGGCATAAAATACAATATTTGTTGGAAAATTTCGATTTTTAATAAAAACAGTTATATTCTTAATCCTGAGTATGTCTTGTGAATTTTTATGTGTAGTAAAACACTTCCACTGGTAGTGCTCATATTAGTTAAATTCAAGTCTACTTAAAGGTATACTTCAAATATTACAAAATAATACCTGAATAGAAACCTAGTATAATACTTTAAAGTGGAAAAAATATATAAGCAGTGAGCTATAAATATTAAGTTGACTTAAAGAATACTTGTAGCATAAAAACTATTAAACTAGTAGTTTATTGAGAGTATACTTTAAAGTGTAGTTTAATGAAGTAAAGCATGACTCTCTCCAGCATGGAGAGAAGAGAGTAAGCCATGGCTGGAAAGAGAGCCTTGTCGAAAGAGACAGCAAAAAAGGACCTTCAAAGAAGTAAGAGACATTTAGTTTAGATTATGTTTTGTTCACTAATGTGTGAACTGTATGTTGCACCCATGCTGGCTTGTCTGTGTGTGTCTCTGGGCCTGAATGGGCTCTGAGCCAGAGTGTCTCAACCCCTTCCAGGCTGCCGTCACAGTATATAACTAGTAAACTAACCGTATACCTGTAAGTTCACTTTTACTATAGTTCACAGTTTAGTTGCAGTCAAGGTGTGAGATAAAGAGGGTCTCGGGGGTCTGAGACCTCCTAATTAAACTCTTGGAAAAAACTCATGATGTTATTCTGTCTATTAGGGAAAAAACAGGCTCTCAAATATAAATACAGGAAAATGTATAAGATCTCAGTTAATCTGTGGAAAGGTGTATTACCAAATTAGAATAGAGCATTTCCAGAAGAAGAGTTGTTAAATCAAATATTTTGTCATCATTGAAGTTAGCAACAGTGCCATGTTGGCGACTGAGTTAGCAGCCAACCAACACTGGAGTAGCCAGCCAACATAGGAACCCCTGAATACCAGGTGGTATATTGCACACTGGTTACAGTACAAAGTAAAACTTGGATGTAAAGTAGTCATGTACTTAAAGTTTACTACTCTTATAACAAAAGAATATTTATATGTATACTTTTATAAACTAAAAGTGGGCCAATTTAGTGTCAAGAGGTACTGAAATAGTACACTTACAAGTATACTACTAGTACATTGATATTAGTATATTTATTACATAAAGAATACTTGGGGAATATACTTGAACATTACTTACATTTACTTAATAAAATGAACTTTAAGTATACTTTATTTTATCAACTTCTTTAAACCACAGCCAGATTAAGTCTAATCCTAGGCTAAGAAAAATATTTCCAAAGCTGATTCACCACTGGCACTGCAGTTTAGTCATAGACTTAATCTATGTTTGGGAAAGCGGCCTCACGTATTGGCTCTACTGAAAAACGTTGCTGTAGCAATGCGTAATCTCTGTAAGAAACTTTTCCTGTCTTTCTCTATGGTTATGATCGCATTCATGAATGTTCCAATGAAACTGTGCATTCCTAAATGCTGAATTGTCAGTGTAATTGAATGTGATTATCGTACATCACGCCCTGCCTGAGTCATGATTTTATCAGTAGGGAATTACTACAGAGGATATGACTGGTTTACTCTTGGAATTCTTGCACAGATCACTAGCCTACAACGACAACTTGTTCTTGACCAAAAAAAGAGTTGAAACATGTCCAGTTTGAATAGGCTACAGTTTGGTCCAGAGATCATGCATCAGGCCTTAATTTGAGTCCTGATTTGTCCTGATTTAAAGGAGCTGAAGAGAATGGGCGTGTTTTCCCCAGTAGGACTACTTTTGTCCCAGTGGTATTTACATCCTCAGTGATAAGGCTGCTTTCAGTTTTGTCCTTTCTGTATTTACCCACATAGTGCCTCTGTTCAAAGTAGCCTACATACTGCTCATGTACCCATTATGCACCAAAGCAGTAAGTAGTGCAATGTGTGACCAACGTTAATTCTTCCAGCACTCCAAAGACACCAGATGATGTACTATTCCAGTAAACAGCCAGAGCCAGCTACGTGATGTACTGCATCTCATAATGCAATGCAGGGATTTCAGGAGGAAGTTACCATGGCCATAACTGCCTGCCTGGTGGGGTGGCCATGAGTAGTTTAGTACATGGTACAAGGTAATAATTAGTACATACTGAATACTATACTGTATGATATGACGAGAAGCTTGCAGTATACAGTACAAACTGGTACAATATGCAATATACAATATATATTGGTAGGGTAGCTGATGTGTGTATACTGTTATGCATGATACAGTGTATACTGGAACAATATTTGGTATACAGTATATACCTGTACAGTATGTAGTATACAGTACTCTGGTACAATATGTGGTATACATATATATTAGGTGCAGTATACAGTATGCATGTACTAGTAATGCATTCAGTACACAGTATTTACTGGTGCTTGTACAGTATATTATATACTGGTATACAGTATATACTGGTAGAGTTTGCGGAATATGATATTTACTAGTAAAGTATGCAATATACAGTATATGCCAGTACAGTATGTAACAAACAGTATGTACTGGTATTGTATGTGACATGGTGTTTTGATTTTATCATAATATCTATTGTGTTGATAAACTTGATCAGTACTCTATATGCATGCCTTACGGACTGCATGAGATTAAATTTTTTTAACATTTCCCTGCATCTATTTCTGATGCAGCAGTAAATAGTCTTTGTCGGGAGAGAATTTCCTTTCTGGGGACTTCATATCTTGCAAAAGAGTTGCGAAAGAGGGTATAAACAAGAAGTTGGACAGCGCTTACCAAGTCATATTGAGCAGAATGGTGGAGAATGAATGAGTCTAACAAAGTAAGCTTTGGTTCCTGATAAAATGAGTTCACTATCAACACGGCACACATTTAGTGCAGAGACACCAAATTAAGCAAGTTAAGGGTGAAACGTGCAGGGTTGGGCAGAATACTTTGAAAAAGTAGTGATGGCTGAATAATGAATACACCATCCTAAATGTATTTAGTCAAGCATTCTATTGCAGTACACATTGATTTATCAGTCTACTCAGGCTTTAGCAGAGCTCAGTAACACTGAGATTAATAACTGATCATCACATTGATTTATCAGTCTACTCAGACTTTAGCAGAGCTCAGTATCAGTCAGTATCAGTTTTTTTCAGTGTTTATAAAGAGGCAGTTAATTGAGGTTTAGAGTTAATCTAATGTACATGTTTGCTACATACCAATTCTAAAACTACTGATTCTAAAATAGTTAATAAACAAGCATAGTTAATTTTTTTTTTTTGAAGACTGTATGTTTTTTTATTTAGTGGGTAAGTATTCTAAAAGTATTCTGCTAAAAATTTAAAAAGTAACTATAACTTGGACTGAATACAGATACTTAATTTCTGTATCCTAAATATGTATTCCCAAAACTTGTATTCCGTTACATCCCAGTACTGTATGAAGTATGTGGAAATATGCACAAAACTAATGAACAAACATAATTATTTGATCTGCAGTCACAATATGAGCAAAAATTCTAATTTTTTTCCAATCATATGATACCATTTGTTGAGTCACTGGCCAGATGAACCCTGAGTTGGCTATTCAGCAGAAGCTGACTGGAGAAAAAGTGTTCTGCTTTTTTGTGAGCAGCATTAGGTGCACTCTGACAAGAAGGAAACATGTAGAGGGACATGACATTTGTTTTCTGCTCCTTGCACACTTTAGGCCGCTGACAGCTGACCTAATGAACTCTGATCAGTAAGTAGCCATGATCTGATTCAGTCTATGTCGATCTGACTTATGACCTGATCTGAAAATTATAAAGGCTTTAAAAAGATTGCAGACATGCTGCAGTGCCACAGAAGGCCTCATCAGCTTGAATGAGGCCTGAATCCTATCCTGCATTTGGCACTAGGTGGCACCAGAGCCCAAACAAACACTTTATATATGCTTTACTATATGAAGTATTTGTGCATTTTTCCAATACTTAAAAGGTTAAAGATACAGATTATAGGCAGGTTTACTTATTGCTCTGAATTTGTGCTGTCATAAGGAAACTATTTCTGGAATGTTTCCTCCCCCATTGATTTACTTCCTCTTTTAAGTGCTCTCTGTGGCCTCTGTGGCTTTTATCACACCACCATCAGCACTGAGCTGTAAACGGAAACTTGGCAGAGCTGGCGTTCCTCTTGGTGCAAGAAGATACTGAGAAACTGTATTTCTTTATTTCTCAAAATTGGTTAAAGGCTAAAGCTAAAAGTGACAGAATAACTGACAGAAGACTTTGGAAATGGTGGGTGGGGGTTCTTTCAATCTTATTGTTGAAATAGCACATGCAGTGATAAAAGTACAGGGGTATAGGTCTCTGGTATTCAAACTGATATCTTTTGTGCAGTAACAACTGGTCATAATATTGGATAGAAAAGCTGAAAAGAATCACCTAATCACAGATTGTAGCATCACATTTGAAACCCCTTCTAGCTATAGCAATGAAACAGCTACCTAGCAGCTACTGGTAGCATTAAAATGATTAGATGTTGATGTGTACCATTAGCCAACAGCTATAAGCTAACTGAGCATTGAACAGGAGCATTACAGGTTTTATCAACTAAGTTACAACATGATTTAAGTTGAAATCTTTTCTGAAGGACAATGTAAAATATATCCTACTTGAAGTTATAAGCTTCAAATGTCTGTGTAAGCTCTGAATTTCCGGGTACAGCTGCTAAAGCACTATGTTAGCTTGGCGCTAACATAATGTGGCAGTCCTTATAGGAGCGCTACCCTGCTAAAAAAAAACAAAAACAGCACAGACCAGCACACATTTCATGCTGGTTTATGCTGGTCTGGTGCTGGTTTAGCTGGTTACCCAGCAAAGTCATGCAGGCTGACCAGCATACTAACATCCAAAGCACAATATATGCTGATCAGCCATGCTGGTTTATGCCAGTTTTCCTAACAGGTTAATAAAAGTTAGCATTATTGTAGTCATGGAAATCGGATAAATACAGGCTTCTTATGGAGTGAACTGAACAGTTTCTTCATTTAAAGTTGCTGTATTATGATATGCTCACAGTTTGACTGCATTTGACTTTATTTGAGTTTATATTTTGTGCGTATATGCAGTAATTTACAGTAACTTTGAGTGGACCTCAGCCTCAGCAGATCTAGGCATAAAGTTAGCCTAAATGGACAGACCTATTAAGTCATATTGTCATTCTGTATGGATTTCTCTATGACAATAAACACAGCTGTCGCATCCTATGGTAAAGTGCTGTCACCCTTCACTCCTCATTCATTCAGTCTTTCAGTGTGAGGTTGCATGTGTTTGTGAATTTCTAAGTGAAGATAACACATCCTTTACAGGGAACTCACTTCAGTATTACATTTTTTCTCAGGGCATGGTTTAACATATAGTTTAACAAATGCAAATTTTAGTCATAGTTTAACACATAGCCAAAAGAAAAAAAAATAAAATGTGCCATAACTTTTGCACAGGTCATGTTTTACGTTCTTCATTCATTTTTCATTAAAATTGGGTTGATAAACATCAAGAACATTTTTTCATAACCTTTTTTTGCTCATCTTTACCAAGGGTGCCAAAAAAGTCCAGGGGGAAACTGTTACTATTAGCTGTTTTCACAGCACACATTCAAAACAATTTACACTTTAGGTTATAGACGATGTGAAGATACAGCATCTGAAATCACAAACACAATAGCAGAGAAAAGCAGATATGAATCTGATTCTGGTGGCAGCAAAATTCAGTTGCCTCTCTGAAGCCCTAAGAACTCCTGGACTCTCTGGGCTTTTCTAATCTCCTCCTCTCTCATGATCTCGTTCACGTGCTGGTTCCGACTCTGTAGCCTCTGCAGCCACTCCTCCCGTAACCTGGAGAGAACCACAGTTTTAGCATGATGGACCATTGCAACTGTCAAAATAAAATAAAGAACTGCCAGTTAAAACATCACTGATTGATTTAGAAAAAACAGCATATGTTGTGTTTTGCATGCTGGTCAACCAGCGTGACCAGGCTAGGTGACTCACTAAAACAGCACCAGACCAGCATAAACCAGCAACAAGCAGCATGGAATGCCTGCTAGTCTGTGCCATTTTTTTTCAGCAGGGATTCTCATTAACTGGACTGTACTCAGCCCTTAATAGACAAGGCCAGTGGGTAGCTAATAGGCTAACAGGCTGCTTCAGTAATAAACAGGCTTCAAATTTAGACCTTTCCAGAACATTCACGGTAACACTGCATATAAAATAAGTAATATGTTACGTGTATGTCTGTTATAAGCAAGTGTTTAAGCTGGAATTGGCATGAAATGTGATTATGCAACACTGCTAGCTTTATGCTAACAAAACTACAAATTCCCATTGGCATGCTAGCAGTTATTAGCATTATGCTAAGGGCTGATTTTACGACTGCACATGGTTCAAAGCATAAACAAACCTAATGAGTTCATGAAATGATAAAATATCTCTCTATTTTACCTTTGGTTAGGTCGATTCTATGCCATTAGCAGTTTTGTGCTAAAGGCTATGCTCATCCTACAAGTCTTGTTGCTCAATCCTGATTCTCAAATCTGATATCTTGAAGATTCACATTTACTTACAATCACATTTAATGACATACATGAAACTTCTCTTAACCCCACCCTGTTGAAAAAAACAGCCTAGACCAACATGCATTCTACGGCTGGATTAATTGGTCACCTAGCATGGTCAAAATTTTGGATGTGTCATCCAAAACCTGTTTGCTGTAGAAAAAAGGAAATATACAGGTAAGTTTTCATTAGCTTTTTTAGTGTAATACATCCTTCTACTTTCTAAGATTAAAGGAAAGTTCTGGGCAAGTGATTAGAAACTATTTTAACTTTTCATTTTAAGCCGTTTAGCTCTGTTTACTCCCATTCATTCACGATTTGCTCAAGGGCGCCCTCTGGCGTTTTGCAGTCATGTTTTTGATATAATGGGGGTAGTAGGAAGAAGCCAGGCTCCTCATGAACCAGCTCTGATCATATCAGCATCCAAAATGCAACATATCATTGCAGTCGTGAAAAAAATCTAATTTTTGTCTTGTTACATTAACTTCCATTACAAGTTAAGAATCTTTTTCCTTCTCATTTAAAGTTACTATTGCTGCTGAACAGCATACCAGCATCTGAAATACAACATGTGCCAGTTTCGAGGGTATATGCTGGTTTTTCTAGCAGGCCATGTCTTCATTAAGGTCATGCACACAGTATGACAGATTATTAGCTACATTAGCATCATAGCTCTGGTTTAATACTAAAGAAGAAGAAATTGGACACCAAACATGTCTTGGCTGATTGACTATATTGACTACAAACCACTGCTTTAATGTATGCTAATGAAGTAAATTATAATAGTATGTTGCCTTAGTTAACAATTGGTTATATACTAGATACAAGGGGGCAGATTTGTGTCACTTCAACTATGAAAGTAGCCAAAATAAGGTTTCCACATGCAGATTAAGCAGTGTTCTATACTAGAAAAGCTCACCCCAGCAGTGTATTTACTTCAAGACCAGGCTTAATCGGTGTCCAGAAATCTGGCCCATAATCCACTTTATGCATCGACAGCCAGTTATGGAATTTTAATAAGCAGCAGTGGCGTTCTAGTTTCACGACTAAACATTATTAAACATGCTGTTATTTGTGCGGATCAGCCATAACGACAAAATCCTCATGGATCACATTAATTTGGTTGTATTGACTTTTGTAATGACCCTGCAGTGATGAGATTATCCATGGCTGAGGAGATAACATTCTGACCCATAATTACCTAAAGCAGAGACGGCCTCAGCTGCCTGCATTGTGAATGTAAGGATTTAGTGCTAACTTTGGTCCCCTTATTAATAAACCCATGGATTTGCCCAAGAAGTCTGTTGTGCTGGGCCTGCACAATCTATATATTCGTTAGAGGCCTGGAGAGCAGACTTTGTCTCCACAGCTGTTCCTGAAGCACCACTCATTCTCATTGATTAGCGAGGGGGCCAAAGCAGGGGGATTAGTATGTATTTGTAACACTGTACGTGTTAATCCATGCTGACCTTAATGCGGAGAGAGCGATGGCAAAAACAAGAAATGAAAGCATGTCTAGCACATAGCTGGGCACAGTCTCAGAATAAAGGTAGCTAGATCGGCTCCTCGTGTCTATGGAAGTGCATTAATTGTGGAACAGTGGACGAAATCTGATCTCAGAAGCATGCTAGGAGCTTCTGAGGCCTTATCAGCAGCAGGCTCTCATTACTGAGCTGTAAACAGAAACTTAGCAGAGCCTGAGAATCTTTCTTTCCTTCTTTTCCTCACGTAGAAACTAAGCTTTGTGCGTCAAAGCTGATTCCAGACCAGCAATGAGTGAAGAACCATAACCCTTAGACATCTATACATACTGACATAGAGTTTAAATGCAGTTTATTGGGTGTTTTTGCAAGTGTGAGCACTTTCATGAAACAGTTGTGTGTTTTATGTTAAAATATTTAGTACAAAGCACAGAAAATATTTTATTAATATTACATTTTCACATAAAAAATGAATGCTAAGGTAAGTACATGCTTATGAAACATATTTTATCTCAAAACTCTTGTGTCCACTCACTAAGTTACTAAATTACAAAATTTCAATTGCATGTATCTGTATATATACAATATATATACATATATATGCGATGGACTGGTGACTTGTTCAGGGTGTTTATTTCAGAAAAAGGGCCCAAAAGCTGCAGAAACACTCATTTACATTTGATAAAAATAAGGCCTTTTTACTGTTTACCGTTTCGACAACAATAATATTCATCATATTATAATTCCAATCATAATAAAATATCCCCTCTTTAGCTGGGCTATGAGAGACCATTAAGCATTTTTTCCACCGCCAATATGATATGGCACGGTGTGGTTACTTATTTGAGCAGGCTTTCCCCAAAAGCATCCTAGTGTTGAGATCATCTCAACTGGTAGAGAGAGTGCTCAGTGTGATGCTCACTCTACCAATTAAAAATCATCTTTATATCTAAGACACTTTTAGGAAACCCAGAGCTGAACAGAGTCACTTCATTTCCCACTCCATAGCGTCCTGCTAGGAAAACCAGCCCAGACCAGCATGGCTGGGCACCAGCTAAACCAGAATATGTTGTGTTTTGGATGCTAGTATGACCATGCTGGGTGACCAGCTAAACCAGCAACAGATCAGCATAAACCAGTTTAAAACAGTGAAGAATGCTTGCTAGTCTGTGCTGTTTGTTTTAGCAGGGAGAACTGTGAAAGGCTGTGGTCACATGACTTTCACACAATGCTAGTGCTAACAGTACACAAAAACAACAGTAGCAACTATGGAGAAGCTTTATATTCTGATTTTCCTTTTATTCAGCATTTTACTTGGCATATCAAATGACTCCATCTGCTATACATGACTGCTGGTGTGATGTTTTTGCTAGCTTGCTAGCTAACAAGCTAATCTACAAGCTAATCAAGCTACATCTAGCATAAATTGAGCTGAAGTTGTCATAGTAGGGAAAACATTACAGGAGTTGTGGTGTATGCGATTGAGAATGTAGATTAGTCCGCCTTTATAATGTCTCTGATATTATTTTTATTTCCCTATTAAGCTATTTTTTCACTAAATACATGGTTTGTTCGGTGGAGCAGTTTCCATTTTCAGAGAGGAGCAAGGTCTACGAGCATTTCTTTGATAAATACCTGCATGACTACAAAAGTAAGTCACTCATAAGTCACCCAGCTGCTAAGGTTTACTAGAAAATAGTCAATGTTGTGCAGTTTGGGAGTTAAAATGCTCAATTATACTTCACTGTTTTTTGGTAGTATTTATGTGATTAGCTTTACAATTTTATGAATTCCCCCAGTCTAATGTTAATATTAATATTGTAATTAGTATTAGTATTGTACAGTCTCCAAGGCTATAAATGATCAGGCCAGTGTTTCTTTGTAAGCTAACCGACATGACAATGAGTGCGTATACATGCATTCAATAATCCGATCATAATCGGACGATCTAGACATCTGATTAAGTAATCCGATAAAGAGAGCTGGATTTTAGCTCAGTAATCAGATTTCTCAGTGCATGTAAACTCTTACTCTGATTTCTATCTGATTTCTCGGTCTGTGCATGCGTGAGAACAGACGGTGGATGTTGCGAGATGGCAGCAAAACACTGTTGGAGTGGTGCTGAAACCAAATATGAAATAAATAATTTGAATATTCTTCATCTTCTAGATGATGTATGTTCATATTTTCAGGTAAAGCAGCGCAATGTTTAAAAAAAAGCAGCGGTATGAAGTTTGAGTTTTACATTATGTTTATGTCACGTCTTCTTCTGTGAGTTTATTGGCTGGTTGCAAAGCAGAAATCCGAATATTGCCTGACTCATGTAAACCTAGAGTTTCAACATTATCTGATTACTCAAGTGCATGTAAATCTGATTTTCTGCAGTTATCGGATTATTGAGTGCATGTAAACGAGCTTTATTGCTTCAGAACTTTTTATTTCATTTGTAGGTAATCACAGACAGCTTCTTTAAATCTGAACTGCTCGATCTTCTAGCACCAAAGCAATAGGTGTCAGCAGACTACTTTTTCATGTAGACCTAGTCAAACTTCTCCCTCTCTGAAAACTGCTATACCAAACGAATGTTGTTTTGTGTGAAAAAATTAGTTAAAAAGCTTAATATGGGCGTGAAAATGAGCAAGTCCTCTACATCAGAGACATTATACATTCTTATTCATGAATGCCACCACTGCTGTAATGTTTTCCCTACTATGATGACTGCCGAATATGAAAAACGTCATTAGGGCATAGGGAATAGTAGGGAATAGTATGGAATACTATGACAACTTCCATTGAATACAGAAAAGACAAAAGGGTCCATCTTGACTGCATTTGAACAGTCAATGGTCTACACTATTTCTTACGCCTCTCGTGCTTTCTTAGTTGGCATGTTTGGTTCCCCAGCAAGAAGGGAAATGAAATTCAATAGCATTTGTAACCACACCGTGCTGTACTGCTCTGCTCGGCAGAAAACTGTGATCATTTTTCTTAAATTGCAACATGCTTTTGTTTAACTTCTAAGGGTCAATACTTATAACTTTTCCTGTTCTCCTTCATATTTGTTGAGCGAACTAAGAGTGAGGGAAGCATTCTCTCTCACAATCAAGGCCCTCATCAGAGATCCCAAGACCCAGGGGCCTATGATTAAACCGAGTTAGGCCCCAAATTTAGGCCAGAAAGTTGTTGTGGCATGGCAGTAGGGAGGTTTCATTATGAACTGATTGGTGCTGGTGTTAGTTACATATCATGGCTTGTAATAGACGCAAATGAAGCAAGGAAACTGGTCTGCTTTTCATCAAAAAAAGATTAAACTGTACACAGAGCCTTGACTGTGCTGAAATCCAATTATCTTCTTCCAGGCCTCACCTGTGATCTTAACCCCATATTCCACCCTGCTGCCAATATGGCAGTCATTTTTCACAATAATCTCCAATTTCTGTTTATTAGACAGGGGTTTTTCTTGGTAATTACCTCCACCAGACAATAATAACCTGAGAAAAAAAGCCCCCGTGACAGAAACAAAGAATCTGCTTTGATAAAGAGCCATCGCTCCCAAAAGAAAAGTCATTTAGAGCGAGCCGCCGCTCGATGTGGCAGACATACGCACTTTGATAGAGCGCTCCTCTTCATTCTGAATTCTTCATTCCCCATCATCTGACTGTGTCTCTCTATCTTCTGCTCCCAGAACTTCTTTAGCTTGTGTTTGTCATGAATCCGGGCCAAATTCATCGCCTGCAACGATGGAGCAAAATGTTTTACGGTGATGGATGGCCGAGCGAAGGACGCCCCAAAGCCTCCGCTCAAACTGTAATGGCTCACGGCTTTCATCGAGTGCCTGTAATGTCTCAAAACCGGTTTTGGGCCCTATATATAGGCAACCACTTTTCAAACTGAACGATTTCACACTAGACGAAAAAACACACAAAACAATTGCATTTGCGACATCAAGCAACAAAGAAATGAAGAGTAAAGATGGTCATGTGACAAACAGGAATTAACTCTTTTTTGATTTCTTAAAAGTAGCCAAAAATGAATGAAACTATAATAAAGGAACTTGATTAATTGAGCTTGTAGCTTAACACATAGATTTCTGCCATCAATTAAAATATTTATTAACCTCTTAAACCCTAAAGGTTAGTTTCACAGGGTGAAACATTCATGCAAATTGCTTAAAATGGTACTTAGCCATGACGGTTGCAACCTTCTCAACTTTGCAAATCAAGTTTATCAATGAAACGACCAATCAAAATGCCAATAATGTACCATGTGATGATGTCAAACAATATCATATCAGCCACCTAGTCACAACTGACACTTAAAACGTTGCTTATTTGCTAGTAACCAGTTAGCTTAACTAACTAGCTAGCTAGCTAGGCAGCCAGCATTAACATATGCTCGCGCAAGTGTTTGTTTGCCTGCCATAATCTATATATGAAAAATACTACTTACTAACTCCTGCTAATTTGCTTATTTCCTGGTAAACAGTTACCTCACAAGCCAGTTAAACGCTAACATGAACAACTGCTTATCTGCCGTTATCAAAGTCTCTATACGAAAAGTAATCTTGCTAATCTTGCTAACTAGTGGAATGAATGAATGCATTGCATAAAATGAAAGCTAGCCTAAAAGCCATTACACACTGAACGTGCTGCCAGTAAATGGATGTAATATTTTTCACCCTAACTAAACTAACTGCGCAGAGGAAAAAATGAATAAATGGAAATTGGGTAGGCGTCTTTCTATTTTGAAAAAGGAGCATGGAGTGAAAAGCTTTCTGTGCTTTTGCAGATGGCTCAGATGTCTGTAACCCAATTTGAGCTCCTGGAAATGCTAGATGTTAGCATGATGAAGTAGAGGACAAAGTTGACAGTATAATTCAATCCTAATCACTGCATCATTTGCGTACTTACGACAGCGTGTTTGGCAGTAGTTTGATTTCGTTTTGTTCATTTGTCATTTGACATATTCTGACAGCTTAATCCTCTTGACATTTGTCAAAAAGGTCTGGCTGATGGGATACAGCTAATCCGTCATCTTAGTTGTCGCCGTAACAATGCTAGATACAACCATGATTGACATGAGTTCATGTTGGCTGTAAAAGTCAAACTGATGGCGAATACAATAACAGTGCATTTTTGCTGTCTAAAAAGTTGCATTTGGTGTGCAATACTAACATCACATATGTTATACTCAGAGTATAAATGCCCTAAAGGTCCATATGTGGGCCCACTCTTCAGTGCCTTGCTTTCATAACTACATAATTTACAAATAGTAGTTAGTGAATAAGACTAATAACTGAATAATAAGCCTTAGCAATAAGACATGGTACCTACCTTTATGCTAATACTGGTTCTCGGGCCTTGTGGCTCTACACTGACCGCAAAGAGGTCAGAATGCACTGATGTGATGCTGAGAGAGTCCAGAAAGAGCCCAACAAAGCATCTGGCACAGAGCAGATAAAAAAAAACAAAAACAAAGGATGACTCACAGAGAGATCGGGAGGAGACGGGATCCATCTGTCCAGACCCATAGTCCCACAGGTACAGGTCATCCAATGGCCTCTCTAACGCAGCAATCCTCAGCACCCTACTCTTCCTCTTGTCCTCCGCTGTTGATACCGTTTATTTCTGGACCAATTACAATGAGAAGAGTGGAGCCGTGTCGTCCAGGAAGCTTCTGGGCGCGGAAACTGAAGGGAGTGCCAGGGTGGCCATCAGAGCTGGCAACCACACAGTGCTCATCTGATGACAGAGGGCTTAAACAGGGCCCAGCCGATCCCCACCAGACCAGCAGACACACAGTTGTGGATTAGCACCGCTCATCCACCCCCCCAAATTATCTCCACTTTCCCTCACAGTACGGTTTGTTCCCATTAAGAGTTCTTGGCTATGATGATAAGAATCCATAGCATGCAGACATAGCTTGTTTCACTGACTCAGTTCCATGTAGTTAAGTATAATTTTTGATAGATTTGCACTTTTCTGAGCATTTTTCAGTGATACATTTTCAGAAAAAGTACTAAACTGTCACTTGGGTCTTTGGTACCTTTAAATAGGGAACATAGTTGTACTATACTGTTTTGCAGTTATATCAGTGACGAACCATGGCTATTCGAGCTAGGCCTCCAATTTGGACCAGAATTGTCAAAACTCGGTCAAAACATGATGTAAAAACCCACCTATGTAATAATCGTAACTTCTGCTAGCACCCCTATGGGATTCTAGTGGTATGTTAGCGCTGCACTAATGATGATGCGCATTAATATTTTTTGCAGATTCAAGATTAAACACAGATATTTAAAGCTTCTGAAGATGCTTATGAACACATTCCATGTTTTACCTGAAGATTGTGACAGACATATTTGCAAACATTTTACCTTGTAGCACTTTCACTGTGACTCATGCAAAGTAAAGGACTCTGGTATAGAGCTGTTTTCCCTTTTTAACCACCCTTTGATAAGGTTCATATTCACAGTCAGCGAGGACTTCCAGAAGGCCTATGATGATCTCAAAATCATCTCTTGCTTCGGATCTGAAAAAATCCACAAGTGTTTCTATCAATGCTATGGGTCTGAAAGGATGTGTAGCTGGCAAAAACCCTTACTGAGAAAAGAAAATAGACAAATAGAAGAAGATGGTGGTTAGAGAAAACCATTGCTAACCAAGTAGAACATAAAGGCTCAGCTCACATTCACCAAAAAACACCTTGATGACCCCCAAGCCTTTTGGAGTAATGTTCTGTGGACCAAAGTGGAACTTTTTGGAAGACAGGGGTCCTGTTTTGTGGCATAAAACTAATACAACATTCCACAATAAGAACATCATACCAACAGTGAAACATGGTGGTAGTAGTTTGGTGATGTGGGGATGCTTTGGGCAATTTACCATAATGGACAGAACCATGAATTCAGCTCTCTGAAAAAAATCACAAGTGTTGCTGTCAGTGTTATGGGTCTGAAATTATGTGTAGCTGGCAAGAAACCCTTACTGAGAAAAGAAAATAGGCAAATAGAAGAAGAACATCTGCAAATCAAACAAAAAAGCTGCTGCTTTTCTCAGAACAACAGACTGTCCACCTTAGTGTCCAGACATTAACATCATTAAATGTGTTTGGGATTAATTAGATCACAAGAAGCAGAAAATACAACCAACTTCTAAGGCTGAACTTTGGATGTATGAAAAAATGTCCCTTTAGTTTTCTTTGAAATAAATGAAAGCAAGTCTCCTGAAAGCTGGATGCTGTAATAACAAGAGTGGACACAAAATTATATTATATTAAATTGTTAAATTGTATTTTTTTCATAAATATGTTTTCTCCTTTCTTCCTGTATTTAATGGCTGTTTTGACTGAAAAGTTAATAAAGTTTGGGCTCTGGCTTTTGCACTGTGCTGTATGTTTATGACTGTTTTTTAACGGCTGGACTGCATTTTTGCTGCTGACTTCTCACTTTGGAGCTTTAGCATATTATTTTTATTTTAGAGAGAAGAGCAGCACTTCATAGAAAAGAATAGACAAGAATAACAAACTTCAGTTTTTGTGGATCGGGAAGTTAAGCTGTCTTTAGTCACGTTTATCTCTACCCGAGTCTTTATTCCACTGAAATAACAGAAACTGCTTTTACTTGCATGTTCTGCTACACAACTGAAAAAAAAGGGAAGAATGAAGACCAAACTCATTCGGAACATCTGCATTTGACTCACTGGTTTCAGTTCTAAACAGGGATTGTTGGCAAATTCATAACTGAAACTGAAAACATGTATTTACTTATGATAACTGATAACTTTATGAAAACCACTATGTAACAGCTTCTTGTGTGGGCACTTTTCTATTCATGGGCCTAGAAATCTGACAGCTGCCATCAACGACCAATACATTCAATACTGCTTTTCTTTATCAGCTGTTTAGTAGATTTCAAACTTCTTTCTACTGAATTATCTCACTTTTATACTTCAGTATGAATTTCACAGTTTTTTTCTGCCCTTTAAAAGTTTGGGAACATCTAGCTTTCCAAGTAGATTTTAATAAATGAACATGTTTTCTATTGTGGTTTTCATCAGGACCCATATCATGGAAAGTAGAATTTTGCATGTTTGTCACACATAATTGTTCAAGATCTTAACTGTATTTAGATCTTTTCAGAATTCAGCAAGCAGCCCACTATGTCGTGATCAAATTAAATGACGTAATAAAATGAGAAAATGAAAGTTTGAAAAGAGGATTACGATCTTTAAGGCTCTGGGACTCAAGCGAACCACTTTCGAGAAAACTTGTAACAGTGGGGAATCTTCCCATAAATTATCGGCCTACTAAAATTCCTCTAAGAGCACAGCAACAACTCATCCAGGAAGTCCCAGTAAACAAGCATCTATGGAAGTGCAGGCTTCACTTGCTTTAGATAAGGTCAGCATTCCTGATTCCATCACTTGAAAGAGACTGGGCAAAAATCATATCCATAAGAACATCATACCAACAGTGAAACTGGAAAATGGTGGTGGTAGTTTGGTGATGTGGGGATACTTTGGGCAATTTACCATAATTGACAGAACCATGAATTCAGGTCTCCATTCCATGCTGGTTGTTGCTGGTTTATGCTGATCTGGTGCTGTTTTAGTGGGTCACCTAGCCTGATCATGCTGGTTGACCAGCATGCCAGCATCCAAAACACAACATATGCTGGTTTTGCTGGTGCTGTTTTTCTAACAGAGATACAAAGTGTAAATTAATTAAATGGAGTCTGCAACAGCACTGAGTTCAACTGGCAGTTCTTGGCAGTTCAAAACCACTGCTAACCAAGTGGAACCTAAAGGCTCACCTCACATTTACCAAAAACATCTTCATGACATCCTTTCAGAGTCATGTTCTGTGGACAAAAGTGGAATGTTTTGGAAGACAGAGGTCCTGTTATCTGGCATAAAACTAATACAGCATTCCACAATAAGCACATCATACCAACTGTAAAACATGGTGGTGGTAGTGTGGTGATGTAGGAATGCTTTGGGCGATCTATCATAATTGATGGAACCATGAATTCAGCTCTCTACCAGAAAATCCTGCAGGAGAATATCCAGTCATCAGTCTGTGATCCGAAGGTCAAGCTCAACTGGATTAAGACAACGACCTGAAGCACAAGAACAAGTCAACCTTTAAGTGGCTCCAAAGAAACAAAATTAAGGTATTGGAGTGGCCTAGTCAATGTTCTGAATTGAACCCCATTGAGATGCTGTAGCAGGACCTTAAATGGGCAGTTTATGCTTGAAAGCCCTCCAATGTGGCTAAATTGAAGGAAGTCTGCAAACAAAAGTGGGCCACTATTCCTGGAAGTGTTTGGGTGCAGTTATTGCTTCTAAAGGTGGCATAACTATTTGTAAAGTTTGGGGTGCAATTACTTTTTCACATGTGTGAAGCAGATGTTGCAGCTTTTTTTACTTCAATAAATGAAACAATCATTCTAAACTGTTTCATCCTTCCTCATGTTCTCCTTTGTCCAATATTACATTTTGTATGAGGATCTGAAAACGTTTAGTATGATAAATATGCAAAAATAGAGGAAATCATCTTTTTCAAGACACTGTGAAAGTTTCAAAACATACCACTCACTCCCTGGTTCACTTATAGAAACTAAGCAGCAAAAACAGCTCATTTTTGGGAGCCAACTTGCTTACATGTAACCACTATTTGGCCTGCAGCAGCTTAGCTCTGCCCCTTCATGTTGAAGTTATAAGGAGTGTTTTAGCCTGGATTGCTTTTTGAATGAAGCACAATACAGGGCAGCCCGGTAGAACAGAGATCATGTATGCATCAATCTTAAAAGTGCTGTAATGAAAACAGCCTCTTTCATTATATGCGACAAAGAGAGGTTGGAAAATGATCATATAAAAATGAATTATGACCATTTTGCCACTTGACATCACACAAACATTATAAGTGGAACTGACTGCGAGAACAGACAATAAAATGTAGGACATGGGTCCTAGATAGAACACTGTTTAGCTTGATATTTGTCTTTGCCAAAACTGCTAAACTGAAGGAATGACTGAAGGAAGAACAAAAAAATGCTACCTTGGGTTTAAAGCCAAAGGCCACACATTGTATCACCTTGTTGTGGTGTCACCAAAACTCTAACCTTTCAGGTGTTTTAAACCATTAAAAGGCCAAAAAGAGTTTCAACATGTGCTTAATAACAGTTAAGATTACAAAACGTATAATACAGATAACAACCCAAAGAATTAGCAAATAGAGTAGTATACCACTGGTCAGATTCCATTGATTTTGATTTTCTAAGTGAAAATAAGTTGACTCATCTTCTGCTGCACATTAGATTACACAAATACTGTTTATCTGCAGAACTTAACACATTGGTAAAAAATAAAACATAAACGGTGGCCTGTGCAAAAGCTATGGCACATTTTACATATTTACCAATATGTTATGCAAATATAGAAATTGTGCTCTAAAATTTGCAGATAATGCCGTTTTTAAGTTCCCTGTGAAGGACTTATTTTCATAAAACATGGAATTTGACCGGGGGTGTTTAAACTTTGGCACACGACTGTACGTATCCAGATCCAGTGTGTGAATGATGTGAAGTTTTTTAAAAAGTCTGACTCCTCTAATTAAAGACAGTGTGAATTGGGAAAGTGTGACAGTGTGAATTGGGAAACAGATTGTGACATATTAGAGAAGATTTAGATA